GAGTTGAGTGGCTGTAAACCGAAAATATAGTGAAATCTCTTTGCAGGACGTAGCCCTATTCGAGGGTGATCTAGGTAAATTCGTGCATTGTCTATTTTCTCTGATTTCTGCGTGATCGTTCTGTTTCGGTTCTCCATGGATCCCTTGATAGTGATTCGAACCCGAACAACGAGTGAGGAAAACGAGCACGCTTAGTGCTTGAATTAAGTCCTCGGAATTCCTTCGGGTGCCGCATTTCTCGTGCGCCAGAGAGAGATGGTACAAAAATGAACTCCCCCGACAGTAACGGCGGCAATGGCTAATGTCCGCATTTTTTAGTTTATTGAGATCCGGTTTTGTGGAAGTAGCTAAGGAAATTGAGATTTCTAATGCTAGCAAGTCGAGCTTTAAGTATGGCGAAAATAGGGATAATGGCACCATAAGTGTCATAACTTTTGTATGATGCTCACTTGAGTGCTATAACTTTTGATCAATTGAGTGTCATAACTTCTAAAAAACGTTCACTTAAGTGTCACGACTTTCAATTGATCACCGAAGTGCTACAAATTTTCAATAGCATTCACCCAAGTGCTGGGAGTCCGACGTGCCTACGCATTTAAAAAATTTATGACAATCAAGTGATCGATTGGAAAATTACATGACACTTAAGTGATTGGGAAAAAAGTTATAGCACTCAGGTGAGCTCCGTATATAAGTTATGATACTCAAGCGATCAAAAAATATATGGCTCACATATAAACGAGCGCTGTATGAAAATTATGACATTTGTAATGAAAATAATATGTATTTTCACTTTTCATTCTAAAAATTGCATAAAAAGTCTTGCCATGTGTATCCAATCAAGTATGCGCTGTGTAAAGTTGCGGTTTGGTTAGCTCATGTTGGGACGTCAACGTGGTCGAATTCCAGCTTTCCGCAGGAACCTCCCGCTAGGGTGTTGTTGTTTCCCTTTCCTTAGCTGACAAAAGTAGGTGTCTACTTTGTTCATATCTTGTCATGTCGTGAATCCTTGGCTAGATACCTCTTTTGTTTGACCATAATGATAATAATAATAATAATAATAATAATACTTGATAATAACTTTTTACTTTTTTTTTTCCAGCTTTTACTTTTAAAACTTCAAATTTAATGGCCTATTTGTTTTGAAATTAATGTTCCCAAAAAGGGCAAAAGCCACTAAAATTACTAAATTTATGTCTATTGTGACATATTAACTTAAATTTTTTTCTGCAATACTAAAAATCTCTAATTTATACTCGTGTGACACATTTACCTTTTGTAAAAATTTTATCAATAAAAATCGTTAAAAATCTATCTATATGGACGCTAGAAAGCAAAACAGTGGCGCCTACATGACTTAAGCGAAATAAAAAACGATGTTGTTATAACAGAAAAATCATCTTACTGAAACTTAACGAAGGGAGGATAAATGCGTTATATGGATACAAGTTTGGAATTTTTTACGTCACAAGAAAAAGTTTAGAGTAAATGTGTCACAATGGGTATAGTTTGGGGTTTTCGATGTCACAAAAAAAGTTAAAGGTGAAAGTGTTAGAGTGGGCATAAATTAGATTTTCTGTGGCTTTTTCCTTTAAAAAGCCATTTTTTAATGAAAATAATCGTTTGAAAATTCTTTTCAGCATGACGACCATTTATGCTGAAACGTTTTCGTTAATTATGAATATAATTTTCGTTATTTCATTTCCGTGAGCAATGTAAACGTTCATCTTTAGGGGAATACTTTTCGAATTATTTTATGGATGGCTTTTGAGTGCGAGAGTCTAATGCAATTGATATCTAAAATGAACTAGTATTCAGAAATATACGTGAATATCGAAACCTGAAAATCTGAGATAATTGGACATTTTCATGATTTGTAATTTTCTTTCACCGTTCCGCCACGTGTCCCGCGGCCCCACGTCTATCGCATGGTGGCGGCGGCGGCGCTGCATTTCGTACCATTTTCCACGCGAGTGAATTACCCCCATTTCGATCCGACCGAAGAAAAAAAATCTCCTCCTTTTTTTTTTCCTTTTTCTTTTTTGCAGAAAAGCCCATCGCCCCCCACCTTACGCGGTTTTATCCTTTTTTGCCCCCTCGTCTTTTCCGAATTTCTAATTACCTCCCCGAGATTCGCACCAACTTCCAGGAGTTGACTCGAATCTCCCCATGCGCCTCAAATTATTAACTTATCATTTCAGGTGCCCACTTGAATTTTCTTAATCATCATCAAATCAGTGCCCGGTCATGCATGGTACATGCTCCATTATTGCAATCAGAAAAAAAATATAAATATGCGGGTTAAATTTCTATATCGTGGAAATGATATAATAAAAAAATTATCTTTCCCGGGACGAAAGCAACCAGCGTATTTTTCATATTATTTTTATTATAGCCGTGACGATAGCCAATTTCATGAATTCTTCGGTACCCTTGGCATTTAAATATGAATTCGATTTTTCTTTATGCTGTTGGATTGCATGCGAGCATACTTTGTCCAATGGCTATGGACCGACTGATAGGACCTCTAGCGATTATGCTCAATTTTTTAGCTTATCGTGATCATTCCAGGCCCATTGCATGGCTAGCCAAAGCCTCATTCGATGCTCGTGAATCGAGAAATTTGCATATAATCGAGAAGAATAACTCACATACATCATTTCTTGAGAAAAGAAGTTGGATTTTTAACATGATAGAACTTCTCAACAAGTAATCTTAGTATATAAGTTAATAGAAAGTAGAAATAACGCTACTCAATACACTTTAAAAATAAGGAAAAAAGTTATAAAAAACTCTAAATTATGCACACTGTGACATAAAAAACCATAAACTATGCCCGTTATGACACATTTACCCTAAACATTTTCTTGTGATGTGAAATACGCTAAACTTGTGCTTTTGTGCCATGTTTTCCCTTCGCTAAAGTCGCCAGATAATTATTCAGTCAAAATAATATCGTTTTTATTTCTCTCAAGCCATGTAAGCGCCATGTTAATAACGTTTGCTTTTCGGCGTCAATGTGTACAAAAATTTTTAACGGTTCTCATTGACGGAAGGTAAATGTGTTACACAAGCACATGTAACATTACCAAGTTTAATTAAGTCACGAATCTTTGAAAACCCACGTACATATGAACTTTCGAGGTCATCTAAATCATTGCAAGCTGTCGTGCCTTTCAAAGTCGAATCAAGCAGGCTATCATTCCACTTTGACAAATTTTTTTGGTCGCTCAACAATGTGGGGGGATTGTCCACATCAATTCCTCGTCAGGAGCAAGAACCACCACAAAGAACCCGGAATTGCTCACACGACAAGAGAGTCAAAACAGAGACCGATCGGGGCACTGCCACGATAGCAGCAAAAGACAATCGCAACGAGAGCTGCAAAATTGTCTTTCCAAAGAGGCGAAAGTGGAAAAGGGTAGGAAGAACGACTGTCCATTTCCATCCGCTTTCGAGAAATCAGTATAGGGGGCGGTGGTGATGGCGGTGGTGATGGCGGTGGTGGTGGAGAGAAAGAAAAGAAAAAGGTGAAAAATTCGGAGGAGAAAAGGACGCGATGAAAAAGGAGATCGTCAATGCGCCAAAGCCTCACGCTTCTTAGGCTGCGCATGACAACGATTTTGTGCCCGGGAACAGATTCTGCTCAGAAATGATTTTTTTTGATTCTGTGCCCGGAATTGATTCTGAGCATTTTAAGGCGTTTGTTAACGGTCCAAAATTCCATCCCTAGAATAAAAAAAGAACAGAAATGCGTTTGGTAACGCAACAAAATTTCTTTTTATTAATAATATTTTTAAATATTTTAATATTTCTTTCTTTTTTTCTTTTCTTTTTTTCTTTTCCTCCTTCTTGGCCATGGCCTGCTCGCCGGCCATGACCGGTAAAATATTTTTTTATTAATAATATTTTTATTAAAAATATTTTTTCTTTTTTTTGGCCATGGCCTGGTCGCCGGTCATGACCGGTAAAATATTTTTTTTATTAATAATATTTTTTATTAAAATATTTTTATTAAAAATATATATATTTATTTTTTTTGGCCATGGCCTGGTCGCTGGCCATGGCCGGTAAAATATTTTTTTTATTAAAATATTTTTATTAAAAATATATATTTTCTTTTTTTGCCATGGCCTGGTCACCGGTCATGGCAGGTAAAATAATTTTTTATTAATAATTTTTTTATTAAAAATATATTTTTTTCTTTTTTTTGGCCATGGCCGGTAAAATATTTTTTATTAATAATATTTTATTCTCGTCAGATCCGGCGAGGGCGGTCCTCGGGCCGGACATTAGAAGCTACATTAAAGATCCGGCGAGGGCGGTCCTCGGGCCGGACATTAGAAGCTACATTAAAAACGAAGAAAAGGAAAACGAAAAAAATTGATTCTCAAAATTGTTCCCAGAATCAAGAAGCTACTTTTTTTTTATACTTGAAAACTGATTCTGGGAACAATTTTTGACAAAATTGTGTCCAGAATAAAAAAATTAAACAAACGCATTTCTGTTCCCAAACTGATTCTGAGAACAAAAGAACAGAAGCAAACACTGTTTGGCAAGTTGTCGTGCGCAGTCTTACCGACTCTCTCTGGCCTTTTGCGCTCGTTCTCCCTCTGCCCCTCTTCCCTTGTCCTTCCCTTTCACCAGCCCAAGAATCGCAGAGTCGAAGAGAACGAAAAGAGCTCGAACTTTCGCAGGCGGGTCTGCTGAAAATTTTGCAGAGCGAAAGGGAGGGAGATTTTTCCCCATTTTCGCTGCGTCCTTTAACCCCTCTAACCCCTCTCGTGCGCGGGAGTCAGTCTCGGAAAGATACGTCGTCCCCGCCGTGGACCCAAGAAAGTCAAAGGGAGCCCAGCAGCAGCAACAGCAACAGCGATGGGTGGTGGGTTCTGCTATTTATCTCTGAAATTAGGGTTTTCTTGATTTTCCCCGCCCCCCGAGATTTCTCAACTTTACTTTTTCTCCTCCCTCCCTCCCTCCCTCCCTCCCGGCACGCCTAGAAAAGCTACGAGGGCTCTGCGCCAGTTCCGTACGCGGGGGGGGCCGCTTCAGTGTGTAGCGCGGTACTGCTGTTTCTTTTTCAGGTGGTGTCTAGCTTCTTTGCGGGGATGCCCTAATCATAACCGTCGGCTGGCGGGGTGTTGCGGAGATTCGTGTAGCTCCCCCTGAGCTTGTCGTCCTGTTGGATTCGGTTGGGTCCGATCGCGAGGTCTCTTTCCGTTGAAAGTTGCGATTTTTATGTGGGGGCGAGGAAGCTTGGGCTGGTAAAGTTCGAAACTTTTTCCCGAGTTCGGCCTCCAGGGTTGCGTTTTTGGAGGGGATAGAGAGCTGATTGAGGCGGGACGGGTGCGTTCTGGTCCGGTCGGCGTGCGTTGACTCCGGGGGGTGGTCGTGGTGATGATGATTCATGGGTAGTAGAACTAGAGTTGGCGGCGGCGGCGGCGGCGGAGATGATGGCAGAGTTGTGAACGGCATGCCGAGCTTCGTCCCTCAACTACCCACTCCGAGTTCCATGTAAATTTTTTCCCTCGTTGCTTTGTTTTTCCAGAGATCTCGCGTTTTTCTGTTTGCCCCTGTTGAAATCGTGACTACACGTGACTGCTTGTGTTGAATTCGTGTGCCTTCTACCGTGAAGGGCTGGCTATGTTCTTTATATGGAGTGGTTTTCTGTATAACTAGAAGAAAATTCACCTTCCTTTTTAAAGTTGCTGGAAATGAACAAGATGAAATAGGAATCTGAGTTTGGGAATCGGAAAAGGGTAAGCAATAGCAATCCATGTCTTAGTTTCTTTTGCAGTTTTATCGGGTCTTTTGGGTTGGTGGGAGTGTGTTAAACTCGGCATTCTCTCTGCTTCTCCATGTTTAACTGCCACACAATCGGTAGTGATCTGTTTGCAATCAATTTCTCAAGTAAGTACGGGGTGTGATTTCCTTAGTCAAGTCAATGTTTCTGGTTCGTCTTTTGGATTGCTACTTCATTCGACTTCTCCAATTGTTGGAGGGGGATAAATTAGCCTGGCAAGTTCCTGTAAGCTCTATCCAGAGAATTCAAAGTGTTAATGGTTATGAACATATGGGAAAATAAAAAGGATATAGTAAAGTAGCTTGGCAGTGGAAGACTTTGCCTTATCTATATTCTGTTCCTATAGCTGTGGTGGACTGCAATTCGATTCTGTTCATCTTGAATCGATAAGGACGTTCTGTTTATTGCTTCCCTAAAAGAGAATGTGTATTCTTCTTTGAGCATTGCTCATTTAGAAATTCTGTATCTATCGTCTATGAAATGAGGAATCTCGATTCGCTCATATAAATGCAGAAATCTCTATCATTGGGTGTAGAATAAATGCTTTTTTGAGATAAGAAATTGCTCTGTCGCTGTGTTTTGCTTCTCTCCTGTCTGACAATAATTTTAATTGCCCTGGAGTGTGGCCTTCTGTTATTTCTTGTCATTCTATGAAATATCGTTTAGCTTTGAAAATCAATACTTAAGTGGGGGTTTATGAAATTTAGGGGACCGGAAGGAAACTCCATTCGTTCTTCTCGAATTACAGACTTTGGAACGCTTGAGCAGTCTCTTGGATTCCGCATAGAAGATGCAGTTGACCTCAGCAGAAGTATGTGCCTGTGCATATGTTTTATTATCCTCTGCTTCAATAAGTGCTTCTACAGATAGTCTAATACACAAGTTTACTTGAATGTCAAGAAGTTGATAATTTTACCAAATGGATGATGTGCAACAGCCATACAAATATCTCTCTTTACTTTCTGCTGCATTGAGCTCATGAACAATGAATCGAACTCTTGCTTTACGTCGGGCCTGCAGCACGTGATTGCATGTTCCCCACCATTTAGGTTAACTGCTGGTGGCTGATTTGCTGATCAATTCGTTTTGGTTCTGTATTTTTGTCCACATATTGCTTCCCAAGGCCATGGTCCTCTGAGGTGTCATTTGTCATTCGTCGGAGCTGAGGCTCTGCTACTATTATTAGCACTTTAAAACCTTATCTGCCAAGTTGTGCTCGAGTTTGCGCTAATTAGTATGAATTGACTAATTACAGGGTCTCATACTTTCAATTTGGCAGTTTGTTCCTGCGGACATTCTTTGTAGCCTGTCTTGAGAGTCAAATCATTGTTTTGTCTTAAATACCGATGATAGCACCTTGTTGTTGATTTGCAAATGAATAATAAGTTGCTAACACATGTAATTTTCGGGTTTATCGTCCCTCTGTGTTACTTGAGCTACATTTTCTATTGGGTGATTTTGTCGCCTGCAGATCCTGTCTTCAATCAGATGAAATCAAGTGCCCAGGCTCTTGGGGCTGATGTCCAATTTGGCTCTTTGAATAAGGTCAACTTCTCACTCCTGTTCATGCATTTTCTGCTATAGTTAACGAGAAGTGACTTATTTGTGTCTCTTCCTCTCTGTTCTTATAAATTGTGGGATTCAGTCCCTTTCATCCTCAGACAGAAATCTTTCTGCGAATATTGTGGGGTCTCAGACACTATCCATGCATAGAGAATCACAATCAAACCTAGTGTCAATGCCTGGTGCTCATCGTGAGAACTGGGGGGATTCCACGATGGCAGATTCCAGTCCAAGGACAGATACGTCAACAGACGACACAGGTGACAAGAATCAGAGGGTGACGTCTCCTACACCATCTCTATGATTTTTTAGCTTACATCACTCCATTTGCCAATTTCTTTTCAGAATGTTGCGGTATTTACTATTTTGATTTGACAAGTAACTAACATCTGGAGTTAATGGCACACAAAAAAAAGACAAACATATGGCTTCTTTCGGCAATATGGTGTGGTGCATGATTTTTGATTACTGTTTTTAAGTCTTGTGTACTCAATCATGCAGTTCGAAGGGGGTCAATTGGCTGTTGCAGCAGCTTCTGATTCCAGCGACAGATCAAAAGAAAAAGCCACAGATCAAAAGGTGCAAATTTCATTGTCTGTCTCAATATCATCTCAGATGGGGATTATGATTGCATGATTTACCATCAAATTCTGCAGACTTTACGCAGGCTTGCTCAAAACCGTGAAGCCGCCAGAAAAAGTAGATTAAGGAAAAAGGTAGTTCTCACATTTAGTTTTTTTGCCATTAGCGGAAAAGCTGAATTCTCATCCAGCTTCGTCAATCATTTTGTACTTAAAGTGTTTAGCAGCTTGGGTAATAGTTAGATCTATGTTTTCCCATTTCTATTTTCATCTGATTTGCAGGCATATGTCCAACAACTAGAGAGTAGCAGGCTGAAACTCACCCAACTAGAGCAAGAACTGCAGCGAGCCCGTCAGCAGGTTCAATTTTGTATTGCTCTGTTTGACTTATATAGGTAATGTGTATCCCCTTTTGTGTTTAAATCAACTTAATTGTCTATATATGTAGGGCATTTTCATTTCAAGTAGTGGAGACCAATCCCATTCAATGAGCGGAAATGGTACTTCAACATTTTCTCATTCTCTCTTCTCGTAATGAATTTAGTTTTCTTTGGTTGAAATTATAATGTGCTAGAAAACTATATGGTGGTGTTGTTTTTGTCATTGTGAAATGTGAAAATAGCGTGGAGTGGTTGCCAATCTTGTAGTGATGTACATAAATTTTCCAGAGCATAGGAAGCTGTAGACTTGAGAGTAGCAACATTCTGCTGGCAATGGAACTAAGCTGCGAAAATAGGAAGCACAATTCAACCCATCCTTACACAGGCTTTTTGCCTTTTTTATCCTCTTTGCAAAAGCCAATAAAGGGGTTGAGGCATTTTTGTTCATGATGTCTCAGTTGTGCTTTGATGACTGATCAACATCTTGAATGCTCAATATTTGCTGATTCTGGCTCCCTGAGGAACAAAATTAAAGCAACTAAATTTTTTTTCCTATCCCCTGCCATCTAAAGGTACAGGTTCATTCGCCAATTTTTCACAGAACTTCCATGTATCGCCTGATATTGGTGTTTTTTGCAGGATCCATGCGGTAGAATCTTAAGCAGTTTTCATGTGCTTAATAAGTAATTTGTTGGTCTTTTATTTCCTGGAATGATGATTCTTGGGATGCGATTCCCCAAGTTGCTTTTATCAGTAAAAGACCAGAGTTTTTGATTCCATCTATCCTCAGGTGCCCTGGCCTTTGATGTTGAATATGCACGTTGGCTAGAAGAGCAAAACAAGCTAGTTAATGAGCTGAGAAATGCGGTCAATTCTCACGCTGGAGACACTGAGCTACGGACAATTGTTGACAATGTCACCACACACTTTGATGAAATCTTTAAGCTGAAAGGCACTGCAGCAAAAGCTGATGTTTTCCACATTTTGTCTGGAATGTGGAAAACTCCAGCAGAGCGATGCTTTATGTGGATTGGTGGGTTTCGCTCATCTGAAGTCCTTAAGGTACGGGACATATTCCTTAAGCTCATTTCTCATTTTCACTCTTATACAGGAGAAGTAGATATATTCACGGTGTGGCCTTTTTATGTTGAGGGAACTTTTGACTGTTCGTAAACTGCATAAGGTTAGAACTTAATAGAGAATGTGAGCTGGTGCAGATGTGCCATTAGTGACAGAATTGGCTGTTTCTCTTGTGCCTTGAGTTCGACCCTTTGGATATTCTGAAAATTTTTCAGTGAAAGCTGGCTTCAATACAAACTGTGGATTTTCCGTTACCAAGTCCATCTTGTTAACCAATTCGCCGTTTTGCAGCTTCTTGTGAATCAATTGGAGCCTTTGACCGAGCAACAGATGGTGGGTATTGGCAACTTACAGCAGTCATCCCAACAGGCTGAAGATGCTCTGTCACAAGGGATGGAGGCATTGCAACAATCTCTTGCAGAGACATTAGCCAGCAGCTCACCTGCGACGGCAGGACCTTCCGGGAATGTGGCAAACTATATGGGCCAAATGGCCATGGCTATGGGCAAACTTGGAACTCTCGAGGGTTTCCTTCGTCAGGTATTAGTACTTCTAGTCTTCCTTCATTGCTCACTTCGGTGGGTCATCTTTTTGTTGGGGGAGGCATCAGGTATTTACCTAAACTCCCCTTTTCATCAGGAATTGCTTAATGTACAGACTAACAGGTTGGTTTGTGCTGGTTATGGGGAAGTCTTTCAAAATGATACTAATCTCTCTATCTGTCTATTACAGCTCTTGGTACAAGGCTTCGTTACAATTTAGCTTGCGGTGTCTATATTTGAATGCATTGTTTTGGTATCTAGTGATTGCCAAAATGGTGTACATCTAACTGAAAAATGAACAATGAGTTGTACGAGCGATCAAGAAATTGCCTAGCTAATAAATGCAGCTATTCCTACTATTTTTTTTTTTTTGGTCAGACAGCTATTCCTACTATGAGTCAGTACAACGGAGCAATTCCTTGCATGTTTTCATATGACTTGTATCTACTAAGAAAATGTCCAGACGTTAGCTGTTTCATGAAGGTGATATGTGTTAGCATTTGTTACTGCATTATGGTTCTACCTGTTTGCCTTTGTAGAAGAGACCTACTCCTGGATTGGACCCCTCCCGGGAGATGTTTTTTTTAGTGAGACTCCTGGGAGATGTTGATGCCCATTTATTTGCTCTTCTTTGTTTAACTTCCAGGCGGACAATTTGCGCCAACAAACTCTGCAGCAAATGCACCGAGTTCTGACAACGAGGCAATCCGCACGCGCTCTTCTTGCAATAAACGACTACTTTTCCCGCCTTCGAGCGCTCAGCTCTCTCTGGCTTGCCCGGCCTCGTGAGTGATAATCCCATGGAAGGCGAGGTCATATAGTATTAACCTGTTGAAATCCACTGCTGCCCCTACTACACGTCCTGACAGGAGACAATGCAGATCGCCTTTACTCTGCATAGGTCAAAGACCGTTGAATGTCCAAACTGCAATGCGACGATGATTAGCTGTTGTAATTATAGACTCATATGTCATAACACTATAACGATGTCAGTGTTCGTGCTGTTGTAACATTATAGCGATGTCCTGTTTGGTTCTTGTGGAAGTCCTACTGTATTCTGTTTAATATGCATTAACTTTGGGGAATAGAAGTGGGAGTTGTTTATGTCACAATGATACTGTTGAAAGATATCAGCAAGTTACAAACCGATGTCTGTGGTGTACTGGGGTTAGAATAATTTCTCAGGCTGCTTAATTAATCTGCTCCTTAATGAGTTCTTGATGCAGTCTGAACTGAAGTGAAATCTTTGTAGACTGATTCCTTCTCTTTCTTGTGGTCGTGTTAGTTCACAGCTTCCTCATTCATGATGACTTGATGAGAGCTCATATCAAGTAGACATTTGAGTTCAAAGTGCATGAAGTACCTCATTAATCCATAAACAATTAAGATGCCGAGTTAAATACCGAATGGAAAATACTCCGTTTGAGCCATGGACTGGCAATTCCTATTGTGTCGGGTCGAAACAGAAGTATAATACAAATATATGACTAATCAGAACACGATGCGTTAAATAATTTGACTTGAACATGACATGCCTAGAAGAGCAAGTTATAAGACACCGCACAAAACCCGGTAACCGAACGTGTCATCATGTGAGGTATCGACGTGCATGGTACACTAACAATACGAATACATATTAATGTGTGCACACGATAGCTTGTTTTAGCACATTTCTATAGTAGCTTTCATTTCACCTTATAACTAGAGTGTATTGTTAAGTTATTTTTTTTAATATATTTTATTACCTAATTGTATCTCTAAATATGTTTTTATCTTCACCTCTTGTTCCTTATCTTTAAGATAAATTTAAAAGGAATGAAAAAATCGCTTGATGCGTTAAAAGATTAACAGCGCCACGTCGTATCAGAACAGTGCAGTAATCTAACGTTTACATTTGTATTCAAATGGATTAAACAGATCAATTTGAGTCGGATCGCGATTTTTATCGCGACATTAACACTTATCGGTTTGTACAAACTCAAATATCATGTCATGTCGTTTGGTAGGGTATAAGTAGATGCAGCAAAAGAGCGTTGAAATGGAACAGCCCGGGCATTTTGTGACTCAAGACGGCCTACTCGATCATCGTTCTCGTTCGGCTCTTGGGGAGTGCGAAGAAACCGCAGAGCGAGCAGCAAGGAGACGGCATTCGCATCCCGATCTTCAGCCAGGTAAATGAGCCCGAGAGTGAGAAGAGAACCCTCCTCCTACCTGTTCATCAATGGCCGTTTTGGCGGGTATCCGTTTTCTTGTACCCAAGTAGAAATTTGTAAGACTGTCGGTGCAAGATGCTCATCAATCCCCAAAAAGAGAAAGACCCACTTGTTTTGATCAGACTAGAAACGCAGATTTTCCTTCAAAATGAATGCGGAATTTTGTTTCGAGTCTGACACAGCCTAGCCAGAAAGAATGCGTGAGGCGGGCAGCGGGCAAATGTGGTTTTTGACTTTCCCAGCTATGAGCTGTCCTGAGCAACCGAAGAGGATGGCGACCCGAAATTTCCGTAATGCGAAAAATTTCTTATTTGTGTGGCCTGTTCTTGATGATGTTTGTAGCGTTTCTATATAATCTAGGCTCGGGCGAAAGCGGTGAGGGTTGGTGATCCATCCGTTTGATGAAATGCGCATGAGAGTTATGCGTCCATCTTCTTTTCTTTTCTCTTTGGCACAACTTTTTTAGCATGGGGTTCTGTTGTCATTTGCTGGGGCTGGTACGGACTTGGGAGAACCATACTCAAAAGCTTGTTGTTGAGGCGGGAAAGATTGATACCGTGTAAATCTTGTATGGATGTCCCTTACAAAAATTACAATTTGGATCGTTGGATCAGCCATGCTTCCGTTGTCCTGGGGCTGGCAGTGAATAGCCTTAACTTGTCCCAAGGTGAACTCTGCGATGCTGGTGTCACTAAACTGCAACATGTGACTGCAATAGGGATTAGGGAATGCGCACGGTGAACAGCTTTGGTACCAATCGATATGACCCTTGGGAAGATGACACCATGATAGCTAGCTATACAGGTGGGATAGCTCGAAGGCCGCATAATACCATATCAACATGGGCCCCTTTGTTTGATCAAAGTGAAGTAGCATAACCTTGAAGACTCTGAATATATTTCTCATCAATGCCTCTCTGAATATATCTAACTCGATTTTCTACTCTTCCAATGCGACCCTACGATTTGCTAAGATTTTCGTCACTGGGGAACTGAGATTGTTGGTCATTTGTTCTATCAATTTACATGTTGGGGCTTGAGAGTGGAAGTCGTCGTATAAGTTCGATTCTCTAAAACTTGTCTCGTCATTGTCACGCCTCTTCTTATTCAATCATTTGTGTTTCTTCTATTCTGCGCACAACATAACAAACGGATGAAGGCTTATTTACTTTACACAGTCTGTTAATTATCCAAGGAGTGCGAAGTTAGATTAATTTGCATAAGTATCAATGGTTTCAGGTCTTAACCTGGAGTTTCAAATCATATTTTTGCAGAGAAGTATCTGATTACTTGGTATAATGCCGCATAAGACCCGCCCCATGACGGCGCTGTTATTGTTTACTGGAGTCAACGCAGTTTTGGTTTCAACTATAACTCCAGTCTATGACTTCGTCTGCTTTCTACCTTACTGGGAGAGAAGGGTATGGTCGTTTTTCATTCTCTTTTGCATTGACTCTATGGGATTGTTTGTGAAGAGGGGAGGGGAGAGAAAATTCTTTCACAAAAATTTCAAATTTTTAGCCATTTTCCTCATCCTCCTCCCATTTTCCCTCCCCTCCCCTCTTCCCAAGGAAAGCTATAGAAAAACTTATTATTGAGGATTGTGTAATAGCTGATATCTGATTGTTTGATAGAGAAGTTGATCTAGATGTGTCATTTCTGAGCCTTCTGCATGATGTCAGTACATGGTTTTATTTGGTAGAATGTATCCTGGTTCTGGTACATCATGGCCTTTTTTGGGAAAATAATTATATCAAAGGATCCATCCAATACAGCCTGGGCTTCAAGTTTTGTTTTCGTATACGCGCATCTAGCCTATCAAGTTCTTTGATATAATAGCGTGAACAGAAAATGTGGGATACAAGAGTTATGAGTGCTACTATTCATCTTGCTCACATAAATCTATTTAATCATCATAACTATCTGCTGGATCCAAATGAGTAATTAGGTTGCAATATACTCGTAATTTAGCTCCATTGACTATTTAGATGCTTTTCATAGAAGAAGATTATGTGTTCTGATTTTCCCTTCGTATTATGCGCTTCTGTCAAGAGTATTTCTAGCTTAGATGATGAAGCGGTCTCCATAGGCTGGATGGTGTTTACCATCCATTTAACATGAACACTGCTGCTGTAACAGTTGTATCATATTTCGAAAAAGTCGAGACATGTGACCGAGCCCTGATGATACGCTTGTGCTATTGTTTCCTGTGGCCTATGGGTGGACTATATACAAACTATTAAGATAAATGCAGAATAGTCCTGTTTATCTTGAAATTGCGATACATTGCAAAAGACGCCCAATATTGTATGTACATCTATTCATCGTAACATCCTAATTCTTTCCTTGTTTCAGAGAGAGCGTCGTCGTCAGGAACGCGAAGCTGCTCTAGCTAAGAATTCTGGTGCCGGATCGACATAGAATCAACTAGATGCCATGTCTCCCGTACTGGAGATTCTGTTCTTTTTATCTTGACCTATCCATACAAGACGTTCACATCATTACCAGGAGTTCTGATCGAAATCACCGAACATGCTCTCTCTTTACAAGGCACCGGTTGATTACCATTTCTTCCTGATTGAATGTGCAATTGCAGCTGTACATATAATTGTTGAATTCTATTGACATTTCACTATGGTAGGTTCTACTGATTCGATCGAACTGATTCTACCGATAGTACTAGTGCAGTCGATTTCTGTTACTCCATATGGGAGCTTTTACAGAGCTGTTTTTCAACAAATCTATTAATTTCTATCTCGAGTTGCCTTCTGCAGTATCTTTTTGTGGGCTGAACCTAACAAGCTTCCGAATGGCAAAAATCGTAATACCACGGGTCCGAGTGTCTCCTTCGTCAAGATAGGAACCTTCTCCGGTGCATAATAAAGTCGAAACGCACGACCCAACTGGTATTACATTAGGCTGTTCATCAGGATTGGCTCTTCTAGCAGCAAAAGTTTTGAGGAGTTCTCTGGAAGTAAGACTCGAATCTTGAACCGGTTGTGCTGACATGAAGTGCAAGGAAAGCAAAGGTACATGTGCCCCTGGAACGTGAGGATGCTGCTTTGTTAGGGCAAGTAGCACTAGCAGTAGCAGTGGGGGATCCTTAGTGGGTACAGCTCTGGTCTCTGACAAAATCAAGGAACTAGCATTTTGGTGAATTGGAGGTCACTGTATTGGGGAACCTACCAAACGTTGCCATTCTCCCCCCCCACCCACAGCAGCTGTACCCTCAGACTTGCAAAACTGGGATTATTCCAAGGGCGTGTCAGTGTTGGTTCAGAATCAGTGCGCCCCATAGCTTTCGAGTTCTTCGGCCCCTATCCAATGGTTGAAGGCTCGTTTATTTTGTAAAAAATAATCGCTTATATCAAAATAAACAGGCGAAAGTATTTTCATACAATATATATATATATATTGGTTGTCTATTGCTTATCATTGGGATGGACTTTATGAATGGGCCTTAGACAATACTGCTCTCCAGCGGACACGTGGCCACGTGAGAGACGATGCTGACGTGCCGGAGCAGCATAATAATTAAAAAAACCCCCCCACCCCAAAAAAGGGATCAGTGGAGCGCAGCAGGTGGGGGCCCACGGAGAATGTGAGCTGAAGCTTCCGTAGTAATCCGTTCATTTATCCCCCAATAATGCACCCACGCACGCACGCACGCTCGCATTGGCACGCACGTGCGCGGGCGGACGGACGGCTGACCCGCCGGGTTCGTGCCGTATTCGTACCGTATTCGTACCGGCTACTTGCGGTTGCGCCTCCTCCTGTAATTAACTACAAATCCGATTTCTCGTTTCATTAAAAACATAAAGAAGGAATTCATTTATGACCCAACGGGCTACTTACACGTCTCTCTGCTCTTAAAAGCATATCTACCTATTTTCGAGCTATACCAAGCATTGAAAACGCCGACTCGTTCTTTTCTTACAAATTTATTTTAGAACGTGGTTTTGGATTTTTAGGTGGTTTGATATATATATATCGGCTCAGGTGCTTTCGGATGGTGTGAGAATTTGAAGTCCCGGAGATGTGGTTTCGAATAGAAAACGGCATTTCCTTGAAACGAACGATGATACCAAATCGGGTAATCGAGAATGTTACTGCTTAGGGTCGGGTAGGATTTCCGATTGGGACGTCGGGGCGACCTTCGATTTGACGGTCGAGTTGGGTCGGAGTCTTCGACAGCAAATGATGACAGATAATATAGCCACGCACACAAAAAAAAAAAAAGAGAAAAAAGAGGATATCTATATGTTTTCCGACTAAAAACAGATGTGTCGGCCTTGGTCCTCACGTGACGTTCAAGCGGGAGCTTCTCTGAAGTGAAGGGACGCGCGGCCACGCGCGGGAGGGAGAATTGAGGGAGGAGCGCGTGCGATCTCCCCCCCCCCCACACCCCACCCGGCGCATGTGCGCCTGTCTTCCGGTGGTCCCCACCTCCCCCGCCAATTATTATTATTCCCGCTTTTTCCTCTTACCAATATTCTCCTGCCCCGCCGCCCCGCCGCTCTTATCGTGTTCCCTCGCTCCTCCCGCCCCTCTTTGATCATCGGACGGTCTCCTTTTCTTTAATCAGAGCCGTTGATCACGTGCTCAGAATGATCAACCCGATTAACGGTGATTTGCGGGTTCCTCCAGATAAGAATACGCTCTTTACTCTGTTTGTCCTCCCTCCGGATTTTTGCTAACCCTCGTGTGTTTTTTTTCTCCCCTCTTCCCTTTGGTAGAGAGAACGATGTTCTCACCGGTTTAACAAGAGACGCGACTAGCGTGGATACGTTTCTTTACTGGAAACAGCCTCGCTTTTAAATGGGGGTAAGCTTCGGCCGGATCTCGTGAATTGGTTCGGACGCGATGTTCGAATTCCAGACGGGCCCCACAACGGCGGCGGTTCTGGCTTCCGGGCTCGCCTCCGCATGGAAAAACTTTGCGAGCTGCCCGGAAACGGGAACGCGACCTTTATCATCTCCAACGCCCGCGTGTTATTTCGATGGAGGGATAATGACACAAATAGTCCCTAAACTTTGACTCAATGTGCAATTTGGTCCCTGAACTTTTAATTTGTTCAATGTAGTCCCTGAACTTTAATCTAACGTTCAATTTGGTCCCTGAACTTTTGATTTGTTCAATTTAGTCCCTGAATTAATGGAAGGATTATATTGAATATTTTCAAATAGTTCAGGGACTAAATTGAACATTAGGTTAAAGTTCAGGGACTATATTGAACAAATTAAAAGTTCAGGGATCAAATTACACATTGAGTCAAAGTTTAGGGACTATTTATGTCATTTTCCCTTCGGCGGACCACGTTGGCATTTTTTATATTTTATATTTTATTTCTCCCTGATCGAGGAGTGGGGCCCGCCGGGGCAGTCTCTTGTTTGTTGTTGTTGTTTTTTTTTTTTTTTTGCTTTTTTTTCCCACGAGGTGCGGACGGAAGATAAGAGAGATCATCATGATCGATGGAGATGATGATGCTGATTCGAGTAATTTAGCCGCGGTCGATTTCAATCAGACGGCCGCGATTAATCCCGCAGGGGGGGTGGTGGGGACCATCTCCCACCTGTCTCCCCCTCCTCCCCCAAGAGTCAATCGTTGGGTCCCCCCACCGTTTCGTTTTTGAAAATCAAAATCCCAAACCCCATCATCTCCCTCTCGTCTTAATCGTACATTACCATATGATGCCCACTATCCTTGTCTCCACACAAAACCATAGGACTTTAGTGCAAATTTGAAAACACGTACGTTCATCTTGAATGGTGACAGATTCTGAGTTCAAATCGAAATAGTCTACTGCTCTTGATGACTCGGGGGTGGGGGGGTGTTCATCCCGCTATTAGGCAAAATGACTTGCATTCTAAGAATCGGTGGAATTTAGTGATTTGGGTGAAACGAAAGATAAGCCTATTGGTAAGGTTTACCTTATTTCACTTTATTGGGTTACTCTAAGATTCTTGGTGTTTTGATAAGGTTTACCTCATCTAAGGTGGGTAGTGCTACCTATGCAGGTTATGACGCCTTGTTTTAAGAACTCAGGCTCCCGATTCTCTCCTTTGTTGTTTTCCTTTTTGGGAGATGACATGAATACGAAGAGAACTTACATGGAGATCCCTTTATCATATATGAGAGTTTCTTCTCCTATCTCTTTTCGAGCCTTTTTAACGTCGTGCTCGGGATCAAATCTTGAAAATTTATCTAAGCTGAGAAATTCAAATTATCGCAACCTAATAATAATGTTGATCTTAATCAATCGGTCAATCAAATCCCCCCCGCCTGAACATCCTTTTTAATTCTCAACTCTCTCTCTAACAAATCATGCAACTCTCTCTCTCTCTCTCTCTAGATACCAAAATCACATCACACCCAAATCTCTCTCTCTCTCTCTCTCTCTCTCTTCCTCTGTGCGACTGACTTTGGCATCTTCAGCTCCGGCTCCAGCCGTCGCGGCCGCGCACCGGAAGATCGCCGATGGCCGGCGCCCACATTGCCAACGGCGAGGCCGCCGAGCACCCCAGGCCGGCTGCCCTCGCCTCGTCCGCCTCCTTCAAGTCGGCCCGCCGGAAGCCGAACGGCGGCGCCCCCAACGCCCCGCCGCGAGCCGGCTCCGACGTCGACGACCTCATCACCCTCCTCCACGGCTCCGATCCCGTGCGCGTCGAGCTCAGCCGCCTCGAGAACGAAGTCCGAGGTCGGTCGCTCCGTGTTTAACTTCTCTTATAGGACCTCCCCCTCCCCCTTGTTGCGTTCGCGCGTCCCGTCGATCGTCCTCGAGCGTCCGTGTGTGGCGGCTTTTCATTTCTCATGCTGCATTTACTCGTGTTTAGCGGTAGTACCCGAATCACGCTGTCGAAACGGAGGTGTATTGATTCTCCGTTTCTTTTGACTCAATTTTGGAGGTAGTTTGAGCATTTTGAGTTTCTGGGTACTTACAGTGGGTGGGACTTGACAACTAGATTGGTCAAGCTGCGTATGTTTGAGTGCGGATGTGCAGCGAGCGAGCAATTCATCGGGGTTGATTTTCGCACGAATCGATGGTGCAATCTGTTCTAATCAAGCAATCGTATCAGTAGACTCGGTGGAGGGCCGGATTATGAAAAGAAATGTCTGGCTTTTTGCTGGCTTTTCTCCTCCAAAGATCTTGCAGCATTAGTCACTTCAGGAATGCAATCGTCGTTTACTTATGCTAGATTTGACCTGGCAAACATTTGTATAACTTATCCATGCGAATGTGATTCTTCTCACGCTAGGGTGTAATGCATTTTGTTCATCCGCGTTTGGATCGTTTTCTCCCTGTTACAATCTTACGAATGCTGATTCCTCTTAACCTTTTCCCCGCAGAGCACACCACGTACATATTCCTTTTTCTGCTCTTTAACATGTCATGTACTTCATTCTGCATTTGACCACGCGATGGCGATGAAATGCTTTGATCTCCCGGTCAGTGAACGTTTAATGTGCTGTGTTTTTTGGCTCTTTTCCACCTGCCAAACCCCATAATGAGGCATAATGGATGCCCTAGTCTAAGAGGCTTGCAGGAATGAGCCATCTCTAGAGATGTATTTCAATAAGCATTGGAGGTCAAATTTTTAGACTTGTTCAAGAAGGAGGTTGAGATTCATTGGACCCTCGCGTTATTAGGCTTTGCCCCCTCGATGTCCAGCTCTTTGTCAGAGCAGTGAATGGAGGAAATAAATAAATAGGCTTTCCTTGAAGTATATTTCTATAGTTCTTAAATTGCATTGTTTTGTCTAATGTTTGTTATGATTGCGTTTCATGGATTGGGCTTAACTCATTACCTTGGCTGAGCTTCTTAGAAAGATTAGAAGATGTCAAGGAAATTATATCCTTTTGATATTCTCACTGTTGACTGTTGAGCGCATCTGATGTGCAGCAATCTGATTAGTTTTTGTACTCTATTCACAGACAAAGATAGAGAACTGGGGGATGCACTTGCAGAAATTAAAGCTTTGAAGTATTCTGAACGTCTTAAGGAGAAAGCAGTTGAAGAGGTACTTACATACCCTTAATGCTCTACAATGTATCTTTTTTGTGAGATGACCTACTACATGCAATTATTGTATGAGCTGACCAGCTCGGGTCATTACCTCGTAGAAGAGTATTTTTGATTTTGGCTTGGTGAGAACCGAGAAGGAATCGTGGTTTCTTACAACGACGACTACTTTTCACTGAGTAGGGAAGGTGAAAAACGATTGAAGTATTGGGGCTAGACAAGTTGCCCTTGTAGATTTAATCCTCGGTTTCACCCTGAATTCGACTATGATTTAATTGTTGATCTTACCTAGGTTTCCGTTTAAAGGAAATCGAAATTCTTGATCTCGCATGATGGCTTGATGAAAAACATGCTTCTTCTTTGTATCTAAGAGTCTTATATCCCTTCTTTGGGCATTGGGAGACCAATATTGGTAAGCATGGTGGTCTTGGAAACTTTAGTTCTTCGGCACTTCTCTATAAAACCAAACTGGTGCCTCTGGTATGGCCTGGAGGATAAACCAGGCTGTCTGATGTTCTTTCTGGTGCTTTATTTGTTACGATCTGTAGCTTTGCTTTATTTTTCGTGTAACCTCATTCGTCTTAAACTTCTGATGTTGCTCGTGCTTATTCTGTGTAAAATTAGCTGAGGATCCTAGGCAGTTGCATCTTTCACCTCTTTTGCTCTTTGGGATGCTAGATGTTTTCATGTTTTTGAGCATTATCTAATGGTTGAAAATTTTTCTCATCGTCTTTTGCAATGATTGACATCAGTTGACTGACGAGCTGAACAAAGTGGACGGGAAGCTAAAAGTGACAGAAGCTCTTTTAGAAACCAAGGTATGAAATACTATTGTGACTTGTCGCTTGCTTGCAATTCTTTTCCATATCAGTTTAAGGACGTGACCATCGAGATGAACTAATGGGGATCGTGTTTACAGAACCTTGAGATTAAGAAGGTAAATGATGAGAAGAAAGAGGCCCTGGCTGGACAATTTGCTGCGGAAGCTACACTTAGAAGAGTTCATGCTGCCCAAAAAGATGATGAGATGCCTCCAATTGAGGCAATTATTGCTCCACTTGAGGCAGAGCTTAAGCTAGCTAGGCTTGAGGTATATGTGGGAATTTGATCAATTGCTTGCTATGTGCACTCCATCGTCTTTTGTGGTGTTACTCATGTTCTGTTCTGATGAGACATCCAGACATCCTGAGATCTTCTTTTCTGGTTGTTTAGAGAGAGAGAGAGAGAGACATCCAGACATCCTGAGATCTTCTTTTCTGGTTGTTTAGAGAGAGAGAGAGAGAGAGAGAGAGAGAGAGAGAGGGAGAGGGAGAGGGAGAGGGAGAGGGAGAGGGAGAGGGAGAGGGAGAGGGAGAGGGAGAGAGAGAGAGAGAGAGAGAGAGAGAGAGAGAGAGAGAGAGAATTAATTGTCTTACGTTGTAAGTCTTGCCTTCTTGCTAGGCTGCAAGGTTGCAAGAAGACAACAGAGCACTTGATCGGCTCACAAAGTCCAAGGAGGCTGCTCTACTTGACGCTGAAAGGACTATTGAGATTGCTTTAGCGAAAGCAGCACTGGTGGATGATCTGCAGAACAAGAATCAAGAACTAATGAAGCAAATTGAAATTTGCCAGGTGTTTTCTCTTTTGAGAATAATTCTTCTTCTTCATGAGATGATGTAGATCAAGGCTCTCTCCAAGTTTGCAATTATTGACTATATCTTGTGCTTTTTTGCAGGAGGAGAATAAAATTCTGGACAAGATGCATAGGCAAAAAGTTTCTGAGGTTGAAAAGCTAATGCAAACTGTTCGAGAGCTTGAGGAAGCTGTTTTGGCTGGTGGAGCTGCAGCTAATGCTGTTCGGGATTATCAGCGACGAGTTCAAGAGATGAATGTAATCTCTCTTTGAAGCTTCTTCTTTCCGTCTAAAATGTCGTTGAATGCTTTTCCATATTCAGTCACGAACATATGAAGCTTTTTCTGACACTGAATCTTCACATAGGAGGAGAGAAAGACCTTGGAAAGGGAAGTGGCCCGTGCAAAGGTTTCTGCAAACCGAGTTGCAACTGTTGTTGCTAATGAATGGAAAGATGGCAATGACAAAGTTATGCCTGTAAAGCAATGGCTCGAAGAAAGAAGATTTTTTCAGGCAAGTAAATGGCATTATTCCATCTTTAGCAAGCACCGTGTTCTTCTTAATCTTTTTCTGTTCATCCCCTGATTAACTTAAGCCGCTGAACATCAAATGCAACAACTTCTTTTTTTTTTGTCTTACCTTATGCTGCCAAAGAAGCAGCAAATGTCTCAACAACTAGGGACTGTTAATGATATAGTGGTCAGACTCTTTGCGCTTGCCGCATTACCATATGGTCTTGAAAGGGTACCTAGGACACCCACGTACAGAGCCATGTAGGTGTTAACGTTGAGAATGCTGGATTGATTACATAGTCCAGATATTAAGGACCTTTTAAATGCCCCTTTAATGCAATGCTTTTGTCAAAATGGCGAAAAAAGCTGCTGTGCTTGAAATTTTGAAAGCATCAAACAGCTCTTCAATTTTTAAGCCTCGAAAAGTTCTTGATCTTTAGTAGGTTTCTAACTTGCATTTCTCAATTCAAGTGCATCTAGAAAGCTCTTTTTTGGCAGAGATCTTTTGCTAAGTAGACGGAAGAAACTTCTTTAACGACATTGACTCGCGTTCTTGGAACTTCTTTTATTCCGAGCATCTCGAATCATCTGAAGGGTAATCAGGGGAATTTAATTTATAAAGCAGGATTTACTGATATCTTCTTATATCAATAGGGTGAAATGCAACAGCTTCGGGATAAACTTGCTGTAGCCGAGCGCGCTGCAAAGGCAGAAGCCCAAATGAAGGTGCAAAAATCATCAATTATAGCGATAGATTCCTTTTTGGGCAATTAATCTTGATGGCAGGCTGGTTCAATGATGCTTAGGAAAAATACCAACTGCGATTCAAGGTTTTGGAGGAAAAGATTAAAGGATCTAATAATGGCAGTGCTCGGACGCACTCAGAAGGAAAGAGTACTAGTGGACATTCAAGGCGGCTGTCTCTTAGTGGATTGGAGCAGCTGTCCAGACAGCACTCCAACGGCTCTTTACAAAAGAAAGCGTCAAATGCACCGACTAGCCTGCTACGATCCAACAGTGCCAGTATACTGTTGAGACATGCAAGAGTGTCATCTTCATTTGATGGTGGCAGCAAGTCCCTGGATAAACTGATGCCAAATTCAACTGATAGTGACAATGCCACAAATAGCGCAGGAGAACAGATCAAGAGCAACGAGATGATAGGTAGAGTCGAAGAGATTGCAAATGGGAATCATAATGGAAAAGCGCAACCAGAAGATGAGGACTTTGTATCGGGAACTTTGTACGATATCTTGCAAAAAGAGGTTATAGCCCTGAGAAAAGCTTGTCATGACAAAGATCAGAGCCTTAAAGAGAAGGATGACGCTATAGAGGTTGATGGATTTGCCTCCTATACTATGATTATTTATGCTTTCCTCATCACTGGTTTTGTCTCTGAGTATTTGATATTTGCTGTTGTTGAATAAGCAGATGTTGGCAAAGAAGGTTGATACTTTAAACAAAGCAATGGAAATTGAAGCGAAAAGAATGCGTAGAGAAGTAGCTTCCATGGAAAAGGAGGTTGCTGCTATGCGTGACAGCAAAGAGCACAATAGTAGGACGAGACGCCTCAGTGCTCCCAGAGGGGCTGTGAATTGCACTCAATCAATTTCTGCAAGGTAACTGATTGTAAGCAAGAGAGATGAGCTATTATCTTTTCTGATTATTTAACAGTTGAAATCATAAAACAGTTGTTATGCCTTGATAAATACTAAATGCACTTTGTGACTTCAGAAAACAGTGCTTCTTCAACTAAATGAAATGTTGGGACTTCAAAATAAGATGCTACTAGATGTTGAAGTCGCAAGGAGAAAAGTTTTTCAACTTGTGCTGGTCTCATCAATTTTAAAGATGGAATTATACTATAGTTTACTGAGTCGGAAGGTCAATTTGCTTAAGAATTTCGCTTAGTTTCTGATCAATGCATGCACCTGACCTCTACCTCTTGTATGGCCAATATAGAATCGGATATTTCACTTTGGAGGTGAAAAGTGGTCTTCTGAATTACTTCATCCATCATGTTCTGATTACAGGAATGCGCGGAACTTGTAGGCTATATGGTTGGCATTTCCACTGAGTTCCTGCCGAGATAACTGTCGAGCAATTTACGAATTAGTGTGGTTTTGGTGTGATCATCCATGTTTGTCGTCCCTTCTCCAGCCAGCCAGTCAATTTGCAATGGCCCGACTTCTCTTTCCGATTGAGGATTCAAGAATCTTGTACATGTTTGTATCTATATAGCTAAGGTCAAAGCTGACTCGCTCAATTCGCGGGAGCCAGATGGAGGCCCGCCCAAAATATTGTGGTAACTCAACTCCAACTATATAAAAATATAGCACAAGTGCCTTTTCTGTTTGGTTAAATGCTCCTCCAGCGATGTAATGCAAATTGATTGCAGATCGGGAGAAAGATAAAAAAGAGATGCTCCTCTTATGTTCATGTTGTTTTTTTGAGTTCTTTTTTTCCTTCTTTTCGAGACGAGGCTGCTAATATGGTAAAGAACCGTCGTAGTTAAATTAAGACGGTCTTTCCAAGGATTAAACTGAGAATCTGGTATTCGCCCACCGGAATTTCTTCGTAAAGCATCTTTTATGCAAGGTGTGCAAACTGCTAAGAGCATGCACGGGGATATACCAGACTACATTCCAGCATATCTAGACCGTCGTCACACATATCCGAGGGATTTAAGCATACGGTTTTCGAAACCCAAGTCAAAAGATGTCCTTGTTTTGCTAGTGACCACATCGAGGGCTCTGCATTTATAATTTGTTGAAATCAGCGCATGTTACCGGTGATTCCCGTCACGACCGAAAGCATTGCATTTCGAGAAGCGATGCGATCTAACGTTCTGAACCACACAGAAAGATGCGGGTCTCGTATCTTCTGTATTGTAATAAGGATTGTCCACATCCACCGAAGGCGTATCTGTGCATATGCGTTTATACCCAAAAATGATCCCTTTTTTTGTTGTTGTTGTCATAATCGAGAAATGATAAACTTAGTCGACATTAGAAGAGTTTAGTGAACAACAGAGGTCATGTACATCAATATCGACGTGTAACCGATGGGTAGCAATATTTTTGGGCTCTTTTAGACAAGTGTTACTGGATATCAGTTATCTGGGATGAAGTTATCGACATTGATATTGACGTGCGATTGATGAGAGCAATTATCAATTATTTGAAGATGAAGTCATCGAGATCAACGTCAACGTGCTGCTATCAGTTGTTTGGGGATGAAGTCATTGACATCGGCGGGTAACTGATGAATAGCGATATTTTCGAGCTCAAGTGTTTCTAGATATTAGGATATTGAGAAGTCATTTATTTATTTGAATTGTCTAACCTCTGTCTGCAATCGTCGATTGTAGGCTTTGAATAGTACTCTTTGTAAACCCCCGATCAATCAACAAAAAATCCGTTATGTTTTATTGTTATCTTTCAATTCCCGTAATTGAGCAAGTTGTAGTTTCAGATCTTCGTCATCGATCAAATTCCGGCGTTGTATTTCTCTATCACCTTATCTTGTCGCTGATTAAATTCTGGCAAAGTGTCATGTACTTTGTCGTCGATTAAATTCCAATGAAACATATTTGTTCCTATTGATTCATCGAGTCTCTCATCCAAAATCTCCATAAAACCTGTCTCTTTTTTATAAAAACTGAAGAAAGTTATTTCATCAACGATACAATCTTGGCAAACGTCGATTTTCGTTGGAGACTTTGACACTGCTCCTCGTCATGGATCGAGTAGAGGCCTTAAAGGGCCATTCTATTTCGAACTACTCTGCGATGCTTCTAACTTTGGCTATCATGCATCTTATTCACCCATAACTGAAGTCACAATCAAAAGAGAAATGAAAGAAAGAGAGAACAGACAACCGAATCAGAAATTGAACTTAAATGAATCGCTTGCCCTTAGTTTTCACGAAGAGACCCCGACCAAGTGGACCCAAAACACCACGCCCGGGAAGCGCTGGATGTGGTGGCGGAAGAGCCAAATTTGTCCCCAACCATGTGGCCCTGCAAGGCTCCAATATGGGTTGCCACGTGAAAAGCATATGAACTGCAAAGGCAACAACGTGCAATTTGACTGTGATGTTGACGGAGGAGAGCCCATGATCTTTCTGCGTGGTCCCTGACCTCCTTTAATGCTGAGTTAGCTCCAAATGCAGACGCGAAACTCAAAGAGGGATCCTAGGTAGGTGCAATTGATTAATTTCTCTGTCCAATTCTTTAGTCCATTACGCGACAGGTGAGGTTTTGGGTCTTTTGAGGGGCCATCCTCGGAAAGACCAAATTTTTTTTCTTTATTTGAATTATATTCACTTCGTCAGATTACTTCCTATCGATCTTTGCAGACATTTAGTAGATGGCAGAAGACGTGATGTCCAAAAGGGTCCTAGAAATGATGTGAATGTGACTTCGTTTTCAGTTACACAAGACAGTTTCTCTGTTCATGAATCTGTCTTTCATTACAGTTCTTCCCTGGGATAATGGAATGGGGGTTTGGGTACCATTTTGTAGAGATACAGCTGCCGTAAATGTCACGAAGCGCATCCCACACGATCCGCATATGCGACACTGTGTTTTATTCTCTACACGAATTATAGTCGAGCATCCGGAAGATTATGCAACCGTCGAACGTTCTTCTAAGGTCGAAGGCCACGGCTTTACATCGAGCGGAACTTCTGGATCTTCTTTGATGATAGATACAAACACTGTCGCAGCTGTGCTTTAATTTTCAAAAGGTTCCTACCAAGAACTTGTCAATCATCTTCACATCAAGCATTTGGCCCTTCCTCTTGACAAAAGACACTACCAAAGGTTTCTACGAGAGGAACTACTTTTTTGGGAAAGAGCATCGGTTTACTTTCCAAGACATGGACGAGAATAGAAAGAGAGATGGAAAGCATCATCTTGTCCTCGTTCCATGTCCTCTGCAAGGGCACTTGAACCCGATGCTCAATCTAGCCAGCATTTTCCGCTCCAAGGGTTTCGCGATAACCCTAGTTCTCGTGCAGTCGGCCTCTCCTCTCGTCGCAACTTCTCGGGTATCCGATGACTTCTTCCTTGAATCACTGGGTGGGTCTGCCGACGACATCTCGGATGCTCGCGGCTTGGATCTCATGCGCTTTCTGAATGAGGTCAACTCGAAGTGTAAATTGCCGTTTCGAGATTGCTTAACGCGACTGCGGATGAATCGGCTGAGAGATTGTAAGCTGTGCGTCGTCCATGATGCCATCATGTATTTTTCGGGAGAAGTCGGTGACGAAATGGAGATCCCTAGAGTGGTCCTGAGGACCAGTACTGCAGCTAATTTTCTTGGCCTTTCAATGCTCAATCAGAAGGCCTGCCTTCCAGCTCAAGGTAAGCGATGGATTTTGTCTTGTCTGTTAGTATTTGGCTCGTTAAAAACCACATAACTAGTTGCAAAGAGTGACATACGGACCATCGTAAACTTCTAAGTTATATGATTTGTTTTCATGCTAATTTTTGAGGAAGACTTTCATGCGAAAGTTTAAACTTTTGACTGAGAGACGAGAATGCGCATGTATACGAGTATAATATGCTCATTTTCACTCCACAGCTTCTAACAAATTTGGTTGCCAATAAAGTTGTTAAGATATTTCACAAGATCTATAAATGATGGATTACGACTATTTATGTGAAAATCGTTAGATATGTGTTGTTTAGAAGAGTAATTATGTTTTCAATTTTACCAATGTTTCAGAAAAGTAGTAATGTGACTATATATGGATCTTTAAAGCTAGAATGGTAAGTAAAGTCTTCATTTCTATATGCTAAAATTTTAAAATCTAGAAATTTCTAGTTTAATCATTTTAAACTTAATTATCTACTATTGGAATCTTTTCTATCACTTAAATAAGCTTAAAAGAAAAATTCGAATCTCGAAATATCTTTCTCGTTCGACGCGTGTAAATAATTTCTTCCATTAATCAATAACCCAAATACTTTGTAATAAACAAAAATTGGAAAAATCTTTCAACAGTCAAATTTCAAATTTCTCAGCACACACAATGCGTGTCAACTTTTGCCATAAAATGAGAATTAAATTGATACTTATGATATGTCAAGTCGCACTGATGATATGATTTTATTGTTCTGGACTGGAACTCTCTAAAGATCCTAACACATTAAGATCTCTCATAAGATTGATCCGTTTTTTTTTTAATTTTTCAATTCAGATTCTTGAGATTTTAAGATTTGAATTGGGATGTTAACACTCAATAGGTTTAGTGCTTCTGAAATTGAGTATTTCGAGTCACCTGAAATCATGTGATCGAAACTTTCTTGTTCATTTTGTGGGCTTAACTTCATGCATAGTTTGTCCAACTTTGGACAGATTTCACATTATGATTCAGTCTTATATGTCTGTAATCTCTGGTGGGTGCAAGCATCATAGCTCTAGCAATTTCTCATCTCTGATAATCAACTCCCACGCGTGTGGAATGCAGAAGACGGAGCAGAAAAGGCCATCCAAGAACTGATCCCATCAATAAGAGCGAGGGACATGCCGGTCTTTGACAAGTTCTGCCCAGAAACCACAGAGCGAGTCCTTGCCCAGATCCATGAATCCACAAGCACAGCCTCAGGAATCATATGGAACACTCTGCACACTCTTGAGCAGACCCTCCTCCACCGCATCCAGTCCTCTCCCTCCCCTCCCATCTTCCCCATTGGCCCTCTCCACAAGTACCAAACCCATGACCCTCATCATCATCATCGCTCTCTCTTCACCACCGAGACTAGTGCTCATCATGAGGAAGATCGAATCAAGTGCATGTCCTTCCTGGACACCCACCCCCCGGGCTCGGTCGTCTACGTGAGCACTGGGAGCCTCGTCAGGCTGAGCCGGTCCGAGCTGGCCGAGATTGCCTGGGGCCTAGCCAACTGTGGCCAGCCCTTCCTGTGGGTGGTTGGGCCGAGCTCGGAGCACAACGATGACATCGCACAGCTCATCCCTAGCGGGGAAGGGGTGTTGGGCGCTGCCACACATTGTGATCATCGTGCTCCGTCGAAGCGGGGGCTCGCGGTCGCATGGGCCCCGCAGAAGGAAGTATTGGCACACAAGTCAGTTGGGTGCTTTTGGACACACAACGGGTGGAACTCGACCCTGGAGAGCATGACTGAGGGGGTGCCAATGCTGTGCTGGCCTAGGGTTGGGGACCAGAGGATCATCGCCGGGTTTGTGAGCCGGGTCTGGAGGGTCGGCTTGGAGTTGGAGTGCGATGGCGATGGCGGGTTGGAGAGAGAGAGGATTTCAAGGGCCATCGAGAGGGTGATGGTGGGGGAGGAAGGGAGGGAGATCAAGAAGAGGGCGTTGGAGATGAAGGAGATGGTGGAGCTTGCTTTGAGCGATGGCGGCTGCTCTTCTCAGTTCCTAGGCAAGCTGGTGGATTTTATCCACCTCCTCTAATGTAATCAAAGCATATGTGTCCTCAATTACGAACTGAAAGAGTTGAATTTTGCAAGGGATAGGCAGCGACAACGTGTGGTTTTGGAGCTGCGGAGCTTATTTACCGTCATCGCTCGGAAAATAGATCAGAAATTCCCATACACGACGGTCGTGTTGTGTCTGTCATCCGTGCATAATACAATTTTTCGGTGCAAACAGATATCAAAATAGATGATGTTGGTCCATATGATCCATCAGACTATGTAATAATTTTTTGTTGTTACAATACTATTATGTACCTTGGCGTGTTCCTAGGTTGTCTTCAGGCGTCTATTTCCTCTTAGTTTCGTCTCTGTCGCTAGAGAAGATACTAAACAGTGGCCTTTGCATAAAATAGAGTTAGTTGTATCTTCACTCCAACTCAAAACTCATATCTAACCATACCTGCATTTCTTAGGAAGCATCCTAGACCTTTGAATCTAAATAAACTAATTCAAGACTATCTCACGTACTTTCCACCCAATTTCTTCAAACGCGTTTAGCGGATTGACTTGGAAAAGATACAGAAGGAGTTAGTAGCCAACAATTAGGTATATTCAAACCGGAAAGACAAGATTTCGGGTGTGTTGATGATATCTCGAATCTAACTTATTAAATTACATTTTCACTGTGGTCAAGAACGATCATCCGCATTTCAAAGTTTAGAACCAAATAACGGAATGAGAGAACAGTATATCCTCCGCCCAATTCAAACGCTTTTGAGACATGATATTGTACTTATGTTCTTTTCTTTTTGGGGGAAGAACAGCATTGGTGCCAAAACTTGTGTACGGAGGCCACTTTGGTGCCAAAACTTTCAATCGGATTACTTAAGTGCTAAAAGTTGTGAAAAACGATCACTTAAGTGCCACTTCACGGAAATCCGACGTGGCATTTTTTATTAATTTCTCAGGCGATGTGGCTCATGGCACGGAAGTGATGTGACACTTCTTTTTTTTTTTTTCTTTTTCTTTCTTTTTTCCTTTCTTTTCTTTTTTTTTCTTTTCTTTCTTCTTATTTCCAATGGCCGGCGTCCGGCCACCGGCCATGGCCGGCCTCGCCGGGCCTCACCTTCCTCCGGGCGAGGCCGCCGTGGCCTCGGCGAGGGCCGGCCTCGCCGAGGCCACGGCCGCCTCGCCGAGGCCACGGCCGCCTCGCCGGCCCTCCGGCCTCGCCGGAGGAAGGCGAGGCAGCCGTGGCCTCGGCGAGGGCCGGCCTCGCCGGATCTAGCGAGGCAAGCCCTCGCTGGGCTCGCCCTACCTGTGCGAGGGTCGAGGTCGCCCGGGAGGCGAGCCTCGGCGGGGCTCGCCTCGCCAGATCCGGCGAGGCAGGCCCTTGCCGAGGCCACGGCTGCCTCGCCGGGCCTCGCCCGGAGGAAGGCGATGCCCGGCGAGGCCGGCCATGGCCGGTGGCCAGACGCTGGCCATCGGAAATAAGAAGAAAGAAAAGAAAAAAAAAGAAAAGAAAGAAGAAAATCAGAAAAAAAATATTTAAAAAATTGAATTATACACATGAAAATGCCACGTGTCATTAAAATTTAAATATAAAAGCCACGTATTAAATTTGATCGGAATTTCTCGCCGTTGGCACTTAAGTGATCCAAATGAAAGTTTTGGCACCAAAATGACCTCCGTACACAAGTTTTGTCACTAATGCTGTTCTTCCCCCTTTTCTTTTTGGATATTATAGATATGATTGGATGGTTTTTCAAGTCAGTATTCGCACAAGACAAAATTCATATTTTTCTGATAAGGCTAAAGGCAAGCCGTTCAAGTTGAGATTAAAGTATCAAGTAACATGACCCCAGGATGTTGTCTTGAGCAAGAATTAAACCCTAGATGTGACACCTCACGCTTCTTTGACGCGTAAAGTGCTGGCTTTTACCACTCAAATACCCGTTGATCAGTTAGTTTCTTGATTAATAATCAAATGCATGAATTGACCCTGTCCAAGCTTCATCTCTCTATATAATAGTCTGCTTACACTGTACCATCTTCTTCCAAGTTGTCCAAATACACACAATTCAATGGCTACCCCAACTTTGAGCAATCCCAGAAAACCCTTCTTCAACCTCTTCCGCTACGGCCAGATACAGGTCTCGCCAGCGGAAGCCCGGATCACGCTGCTGCTTTTGGTCGCCGTGACCCTGATCGCGTTGCTCACGCTCTTCCCAGTCGGAGTACTAAATCCTCCTGGTGCTGTACGATGGCAGGACGCCGCCAATCATCATAACAACGGCAATTATCCAGGGCGTGTGATGTATTACTATCTCAAGAACGCCTTGTACGTATTCATGGTCTTGTTCAACACGATGGCGATGGAGCTAATCCGGAGCACCGTCGTGCTTCTGTTCACATCAATGTTCGCAATCAGTTTATTCCTCACCTGCACGTCCTCTTTTCGCTCGGCGGAGATATTTGGCGAGACAGATTCCGTGATGCTGACATGCGCAGCTTCTTCGGTTTTTGCCGTTACGCCCCTCGAAGTCGGCAAGTTTCACTGTGTTCTGTTCGTAGCATTTTTCCCAGGTGTTGTACGTAATGTGATCCAGGTATTCTGCAGAGTGTAGAGGTCACGAATTGGGTCCTTCTGTTTTCTCTTTTAAGGGTTAGAAGAAGACTTTGGCAAATTTGTCGAGCAGGTTGAACTTGTTCACTTCGGCTCCCGTTTTGTGCCAAACTTAGCTTTAATTTTTTGCGACCTCGAGCCACTGTAAATATTTGTCTCGATGCATCAATCACCACAGAACCGATCCATCGGGGCATGCCGGGAAGCCGATGGGCGCGAGGATGAATTGGCTGATATCAGTAAGCAGAAAAGTGGAGAGACTTCATGATCTGCTGTCGGTCAACACTAACCAGCAGTTTATTTCTGGGTAGGAGAGTCTTAGGAGACCCACTTTCGATATGTTTGTTCATTTTAATGCATATAATGGAACATTTACCTTATATTTTCTGCTGTGTAAAGTTAAATTTCGCAGGTTACTATTTCAGAGAATCAGATATCTTCGCAAAGTGTCCTTACATAATAGTTATCTTTTTGTAAATGTGCTATGCATAAATACTGAGTCAAATTTAGTTGAGAGTTGTAGAGAATACCATAGATGTTCTAAATTTCAAAAACGATCACATGAGGTACAAATTCTTTTGCATTTCACATCCTCGCAATGTCACAAAAACAGGACGTTTGGTCGAAGTTGTTAACTCAAGAAGCATATAAATTACTTAAGAACGAGAAAAAAAAATTTCAATAACTTAATTTGTAGGGGTTGATGTACAGTAATTTTATTGATAAAAATTGAAACAATACACCAATAGAATGCGTCGAGTATCAAAAGCATTAGCTCTTGGGTCTGTAATTGACATAAATGTATAGATTGTTTATTTTTATGACAAGAAGTCCATCTCAAAAAGGTATATCGTACCATAAATTGGTGACCAGGGACGGATCTATAATGCTTTCTTAATGAGGCAGATACGATCCACTATTGCAAAGAAATTAAATACTTTGATTTAGAAATAGAAGTAGTGTAACTTATGCCTTAAAAATCAGATAAGAATAAAGATGTAATTTCTCTATAATGATGGCATTTTACATTTTTTTATTGACTTTTATCGATTTGCAAGGGCAATTGCTCTTAATATGACTTATCTATATATATATATATATATATATTCCTTTGAGACATTTAATGGAACAAACTTTAATTCGAAGGCCACAACATTACTTAGAAGCCTCCAAAATCAAATATTTTGTCATGAGTTCAAAAAAGTGAGCGGCGGCCACACAGAGCGCATAAATCCGTCCATGTAATTGTGGAATTATCTTGCATTTGATTGTGTGAAAAATCGAATCCGTGTCGTGCGCATGAACCGCAAATATAAATACATATTTTTTCAAGAATATATCAATAATAGCCGTCTCTAAACTCTGAATTAATCCAAAATTGCACCCCAATTTAGTAAATAATTAAATAAAAAATATGAGCACCACGAATTGTCACCGGTGAAAGAGTAGGGGTGATTGATTTCTTGGTGGTCCGGTTCCTGGGTGGGCTAACAGATTTCTTTTTTATCTTTTCAATGTTGAAACAAGGCATAGGAATGAAAGAAAATGAAAACCAATGGCCGAATCTCTCAGGAAATGGCCAAGCGCTACATTCCCTTAATGCTTCATAAAAAAGACGAATTGGGTAACGAGGCATGAACGAGATGTATGAAGACTATTGAGGCAAACACTCGACCAAGCCGCGAGAACAAAGAGAGAGCGAGAGTCGATGAGATGCGAGTCAGAGAACAACCAAAAAAAATTCGTAGACGAGATAAAAAGAATTCGAAATGGTGGACAAAGAGCAGCACGAAAATAAAAAAAAACAGAGCATTTACGTCAATGAGATGCGAGACAATGAGTGAGAGTTGAGCGGCCAAAAGCAGAGCAAGAGAGGTAGGTGAGAGCCGAGCGAGAGAGAGATTGAGATCGCGAGAGGGAGGCGAGTTGTGACAGCCAAGCTAGAGGGACGTAAGGTGAGCAACACAGATTAGGGTTTTGTTTAGATTTGAGAAAGGGAACGGCTCAGGCTGCGTGCGAGAGAGTGCGAGAGGCTTGATGGGTTCTTACTTATTTTCTAGTTTTTACAGATTTTCAAGAATAAAAAAAGAAAAATAGCAGGTCCGGTCCGGATGGGCAGTTCCACGCATGAAATCGGGAACCGGACCGGTGCTCTCGAGAATTGGCCAGAACCGATTAGTTCGGGCGATTCCCGGTCCGGTCAGTCCGTTTGGCTCGCTCTTTACAAAGGAGAGCCGGTAAGGGTTTTACGGCGAGGGAGGAGGGAAAAACGAAACAATTCGGACAGACAAAAGAGAGCGCGACGAGGTTTTGTCTTCGTCCTCACGAAAAAAGAACATCATCAGTTGGTTTATAAAAACTCGGACAAGGCTTCTTATGGTTCGGAATCTCCAATGGCGCTTCTCCTGAGACCGCCTCGTCACCTCAGCTTCCGGACCATGGCTTCTCGCTTCCTCGCTCGCTCTCCTCTCCACTCTCATGCTCCCGCGTCTCGCTCCTCCGTCTTCTTCAGACCCAGGTCGGTCCTCCCTCCCTCCCTCCTCTTTACCCTTTCTCGCGTGTTCGCGTCTAGAGACTTTTCTTCTGCGCGCGAAGTAAAGCCGCGAGCTTTCGGTTGGAGCGATCCATCTCGCGATGCTGTTCGGGGCTTGCAGTTGATGGGGGAGCTTGGCAGGGTAGTGCTCGGTGATGTGTTGGGTCGTCTCGCTGGAAAGTCTCTGCATTTCGGCCTTCGAGTACCGATTGTGCTGGATTACCAAGTGTCGTTTGCTTTAGAAGTTCGTCTTTTTCGTGGCCGTGGAGCAAGCATTTTTTGCTCTTCCCCTGTTCATTGGATTTTGAATCGTTGTGTTCGTGTGTTTTTCGATGCAGAAATGGCTATCCATTGAGGAGAGTAATCATTCAATTGTCGAGCCGTCAGGCAGGTTTTGTGAGGGCGTTCATGTCGACCAGCGCTGTGACTGAAGGTTTTCAAGGGAGCGCAACCTCAAAAACTTATGGGTCTGAGCAAATTCAGGTTATCCATACGCTATAAACTTCCCCAAATCGGTTCACGTGCTTACATTACTGTGCTGAGCTATTCGATTATTGGCTTTAAAAGTTGTATAAGTTTTGACAGTTATATCCTGGTTCTTTTTTGTCATGGATGAACTAGCGCGTGTTGTATTTTTTATGTTTTGGTTTGCTTATTCATCTTTGTCATTGATGCCTGCATCGTCAACTGAGCATTGTGTACTGACTTGTTTAGGTATTGGAGGGCTTAGACCCTGTTAGAAAGAGGCCAGGGATGTATATTGGAAGCACCGGACCGCGTGGTTTGCATCATTTGGTATGGCCATTTTTCCCTTTTCGTCTGCAGTTGTTGTACTAGTACTAGCGAATCAATTTAGTGGATACAAATTGTCGATATATGACAATTCTCTTGTTTTTGCGGTCTATCAGGTCTATGAAATACTGGATAACGCGGTTGATGAAGCTCAGGCGGGATTTGCTTCCAACATAGATGTTGTTTTATATGCAAATGGCTCTGTGAGCATCACTGATGATGGGCGTGGGGTATGGATCCTATCTGTGTAATTTCAGTAGATACCTTTCATATCATGCAACTGAATTAGAGCTTTTGGACTGTCTACTTTCTTGAGGACGCACGGTGGACATGTTATTTTTACTGCTTGATAGTTGCTTGCCCTCACGAGGACAATACCGTCTCCATTGTTGATAAATAAGCTAATTGAATGTGGGAGCATCTTATTAAAACGTTTTTTGTTACTTGCTTCTTGACATAATCTTGATCCACGTTTTTATGGTCCAGTTAAGAACCTCTTGCAAGAAACTCTGATACTCAGTGTTACTTTGCTCTAATATTGAATCGGAGATGTCATTTGAGCTCATGTTCATTGACCAACTTGAGTTCCAATTGTGACCATTCTCAAAAGGATTATGTTCACAAGTACCCCTGGGGCACTTCTTAAGCAATTAATTAAGGAGACTTCGCAGTTTTAATGCATTGATTGTCTTGTGTATGTGTAACCACTGCACTGAAAGTGAATCATTCATTATTTAGTATGCTTAACAAGTGCACCTGGGGAACTAGTTAACAGGATCCTTTTCAAAATGGACTGTACAATAAACTTTCTCTTGGTGCTTTGGCTGGTCACTCAACCAATAGAGTTCTAGACCGTGTAATTTATAAGGAGCTGCAGAAGTTTGAATTAAGAAACTAGTCATTTCACTTTTATTGGATAATTTGTTCTGCTAAATTGATAGCATTTCTCAATATTGCAGATTCCGATAGACTTGCATCCTGTGACCAAGAAATCTGCATTGGAGACTGTGCTAACGGTAATTTCTCATGAACCAATATATAATCTTAAGCTGTTTAAGAAGATATGGATTGTCAAGAAGATGCCTGAATTGAGAAGGACGAATATATTCTAAAGCATATATAAATGGTTTTTTTTTTCAAACGATTAATGAGTCAGATATTTGCCCGATAGTATGCTAAAAAGTTCTATTGTGAGATTAATTTTTATGTGAATTATGTATTCCTGCATGTTGTGCTTGCACATGCATTCACACGTGTGCAGGCTTCTTGTTTGGGACGTGTTATTGATATGCTTTTTGTTTCATGCTCTGATTATTTCATATTTTGATTCAAGCCTTTTGGCATGGATCTATCTGTATGGGCAGAGGTTTAGGTGGTTTGGAATTTTCTGATATTTGTCATTAGCAAGGGCTATTCAGCAATTTCTAACATCCTTTATCATTGAAATAGTAACAGAGTATAATGTATCTCACTTTTATTACAATCTGCAGGTCCTACACGCAGGAGGTAAATTTGGTGGTTCTAGTAGTGGCTATAGTGTCTCAGGTGGTTTGCACGGAGTTGGCTTGTCAGTGGTTAATGCGCTGTCTGAGGTGAGCCTTCTCTTTTCTGTCAACTGATCCGCCTCTTTGTTGCTAGAGGAGATGCTTCCTAAACATTTATGAGGTTATCTGGCAGAGAAGATTAAGATGTTATCTTGTTTCTATTATTGGTAAACAAATTGTTGGTCATAGGCCTTACGGGGGAACTGACCCAGGCACCTAGACATAGGTAGTGCAAGTCATATCTAGAAATGGTAGCTTGGCTCAAGGGAGGTGTGTGAGATCTATTGTAGCCCGTGTAATTGAAGTATAGCCTCGCTGAATTACTGAGCATTTCTCTAGAAAATCACGTAAGTTTTCCTACTCCACTCCCGATATAGGTTTCAAAACATGGACCGGGAAATGAAGGAGAAAGGGGGATCTATTTAGTACTTAAATCTCAGGATCTATAAGGAACAATCACAAACAATGTGGATAAAGGCTATGCCTTGTACTTCCTCCACTGAAATACAGGTTTAGCGTTCTCTAAAGAGTGTTAAAAAAGATGGTAGAGAATACTCACAGGCTCAGAAATTTCTCTTTGAGCCTACAATATGGTACTCTTCAAGGTTCTAGTTTTGTGGGATTGATAGAATTTTTGTCCAAAATAGCTCAATGATCTTTCTGACAATCTCTGACATGCATTCTATCTAGGTTTGCATACTATTTTTTGTTTTATCTTAAAAGTTTAATCCTGTAACTTGCTGGTGTCAGGCATTGGAAGTTACTGTTTGGCGTGACGGAATGGAATACGAACAGAAATATTCTCGTGGGAAACCTATGACAACTTTAACGTGTCATGTGCTTCCACTTGAATCAAAGGATCGTCAGGGGACACGCATACAGTTTTGGCCAGACAAAGAAGGTAATTCTTGACAACACAGCATGCCTACAGGATTACCTTGTTGGAATTTATTTATACTTTTCATGCTTTATATGTGCTGACACATGCTCCTTTGTCTACTTTCTTCACTGCTACAGTGTTTACGACAGAAATTCAATTTGATTACAATACTCTAGCTGGGCGAATCAGGGAGCTGGCTTTTCTAAACCCTAATGTATGGTTTTGCAAAACTTTGCTTCATAACATTGAGTATGTATTATGTTAGCATGCATGTACTCAGCGGTTATGGCCAATTTTCTAGGTGATGCATTTGGGTAGGCAATATTTTTCTGGTTCTTTGTGTAGCTCGCATGACTATATGTGAAAATCTTAAGGTTTTTATGTTATCTTTTGCTCAACTATGTATTGTGATTTGGGCTTTGCAGCTCAGGATTACTTTCAAAAAAGAAGATGATGATCCGGAGAAGATTCAGCACAATGAGTACTTCTACGCAGGAGGATTGGTTGAGTATGTGAGCTGGCTAAACAATGACAAGGTATGCCTGCCTTTTTTACTCTCCCTTCTGCTTGCCAAGAAATGATGGTAATATGTAGATTGTTTATCGTTCTTGATCTTGCTTTCAAATCGTCTTCTTGAAGAGGTTAACTTCAATTACTAAAGTTACTGAAGAAAATTCTACCTTTGTCTGGATCTTTATGAGTGAGTTAAATAGAAATTCTCCTCTAGTGCCCCAATGGGTGGGGCGGGGTGGGAGCAGGGTTGCGTCCTCTAACACCTGCCCCGTGATAAGTTAGATGGCCCTATATCCACTTCATGCCCCGGCAGGGCAAGGTTGTGTGCCCCATCCCAACCCCTCGGAGCATTCAGGTTTCACCAGCCCATCTGTCTCACTCCATGTTTATGTTGAACTTAACTCTAATTAATAGAAGAATGAAAAAAGAATGATTATCAATAAGTAGACCAATGAAAAAAGACGACAAAGGCCTATAATTTGTAACCATGTAATATAAAACACTAAATACTATTATTTAAAATAATTAAGGTGTGGGCTGGGGCGGTTCATGGGGCAAAGATGACTAAATCGATCCACGCTCCATCCAATATGTGGGGTAAGAGATTTGACCCGATCACCCCCCTTTAAAACCCACTTGTTGCGGGTTTTCTCTGCCCCATTAGGGCAGGGCAATTCGGGTATCTGATGGGGCGGGTTAAATTGCCATCGCTAGCCAGTGCTCTTCAGCTAACAGAGCTGTTGAAAAGTCAGACTGTTTGAATTGGCAAACCTTAGTCGGAGATGATTGGATCAGCTGAACATTCATTGAGCTGTCTGTGTCACTTCTTAATTTTGGTTGACACTGTCAACTTACTTCTCTGTAATCTGCAGTTCTTCAATGCTGATTTACCTCTGATGTGCTCAAATTAGTGCCTTAACTAAAACCATTTGAAGGTCCTACATGAAAATCCTTCTTGCTTCATGTTAATGTATGTGCACCTCTATTTTTTTTAAGTCGTGTCTACTGAGAAGTCCCTGACAGTTTCTTGACGCAGAAACCACTTCATGATGTCGTGGGTTTCAGGAAAGAAATAGACGGAGTCACAGTTGACGTTGCTTTTCAGTGGTATGCTTCCTTTCCTCTTCTTATACTGATTTAAGGATTCAATTGTCAAACATGTAATTTGGGATTACATTAACTTTCCTATTGCCATCTGTTGGTGCATTTTATTAATACTTGGAACTTTTATCTAGTAAATATATTCTCACTACTGCACTGTACAACAACATTTTGGTTACCACAAGATAGTTTGACATAAGATGATTTTGGTTACCATAAGAGTGGTGATGTTGTCATATTCAACAAACTGAGAGTCCCTTGTATTCCTTCCAACCGTGAGTAGAACAATAACAATAGTTAACCTTGTTGTTTTCATGCATTGTTGGTTAGGTGTTCAGATGCATATTCCGATACAATGCTTGGATATGCCAACAGTATACGGACGGTTGATGGTGGGACTCATATTGATGGTTTAAAGGCTTCATTAACACGAACACTCAATAACCTTGGGAAGAAGTCAAAGGTTATCAAGGTGTGCGCCTTCTCTGGCTGGTTTTTTTTTAATAAGCATATGAGATATGTGTGGAAGAGGAAAATAAATGTATTTGTCACATCTAAATGGACAAATTCGTTTGTATTCAGGACAAAGACATCAATTTGAGCGGTGAGCATGTAAGGGAGGGTCTGACATGTGTTATCTCAGTCAAAGTTCCAAATCCAGAGTTTGAAGGACAAACGAAGGTATTGTCTACTGCGATATTCACTTGAAAGTTCATATGGTTTTTTCACCAGAAGTTCTCTATCAATGTTTCAACTTGGCAGTTGTTTGTATCAGTTATACTTAGCTGACTGCTTTTTCTTCCTTTAGACAAGGTTAGGGAACCCAGAAGTACGCAAATTGGTTGATCAATCTGTGCAAGAGTATCTTACTGAATACTTAGAGTTGCATCCAGATGTGCTTGATTTGATACTTTCCAAATCGTTGAATGCCCTCAAGGTGCAGTTACACTTACTTTGCTGGAAAAATGTTATGTTTTGTTAATTGTTGTTAAGTGCACAGACTGTGGAAACAGTTACCAGTATCTGTGAGCTTGAAGTTTGTCTGATTTCCCTTGTGTTGCTTTTCTTATTTAGGCAGCTTTGGCAGCCAAGAGAGCCCGAGAGTTGGTGAGACAAAAGAGTGTTCTGAGATCTTCATCTCTTCCTGGGAAGCTAGCAGATTGCTCAACTACAAATCCAGAAGAATCTGGTAAATTGTATTTCTCATGTAAAGCTTTTCATAACTTATGATTGTGACAATATTATTTGATGTCAGATATTCCAGTTCTTTCTTTTTGTCTTTCACATTAAGCTGCCTAAGTTTTATTTCTCCATGAGTTATTAAAATGAATAACGGCTGTTCTTAAAGATGAGGAAGATAAATTACTTGTTCCTTATCTCTGCATATGTATTAATATAAATCCCAAGGATGATGTATCAGGGCATAAATGTTATCATTCAGCAATCTTTCATCTATAATTGTTTCCTTCGGAAAAGATTTCTCTAGGGTTGTGATGAGTGGTTGGGTATTTGGAATTATCAGCAATGGATATAGAAGTTTGTCTTGATATATGATCGTGCAAAAGCAAAGGTCGGAGTTCATTGGAGATCCTTTGTAGCATACAGTATGCTGTTTGCATCAGTTTTGCAGTTACTGTGAAGCTCGAGATATGTACTTGAAAATCCCACATTTGGTAGATGATAACATTTATGGAAGCGTCTTATTGGCACTTCCTTATGAGAGGATGCTTTAATTATTCATTGGAAGTAGTTTGCAGCCTTTCTTCACTGTGGAAGTCCATTCACTGCAATTACAATTTCTTGACTTGTCACAATCAACTATGGCATTCTCCGATCTTTTTTTTTTAGGTTGCATTCCTCTTTAAAAATCATGTTAAAGCAAAGAATCTCTAATCCTTATCCACAAGGATATTGGGATGCTCTGGGAGGACTTGAAGTTGAAAAAACACCTTCAAGATTATGTTGAAACGTGTAAAAATTTGATGTCTGAATGCTCGACTTTCTACAGAAATTTTTATAGTTGAAGGGGATTCAGCTGGTGGAAGTGCAAAGCAGGGCCGGGATAGACGCTTCCAGGTAAGATTTTGGTTCATGTGACCTATTTTGTGTCGGATTTTTTTGTATGTTAACTTGTCAATACTTGTCAGTTTTTGCCATTGTGAGCTTTTAGAATAGCGGCTAACTCTGGTGATATATATTTTGGATGATTTTTATTTGGAGTGCTGAAGCTGATTCAGTAGAGGTTCTATAGCATTAGCTTGGTGACAAATGCTCTCACCTTTGGAAACAGAGAACCTGAGTGACTGTTGCTTGTCGGATATTTGGGGTTGGAGAAGTTCTAACAGCAGTGTGCCTTAGAAATGTGAAATGATTTGTCCTTACAGAGAAGAACTGATCGTAGAATTTTTATATTTTCCATAATTAACAAGATGTGTAGTTCTACTGTCTTACTATTGATCATTGATTGGAGAAGTTGTTTAATGGAAACTTGATTAGAAAAATCCAACCACAATGGAAATAGGTGTCCTTTAGGTTTATAATCTCTCTCCTTTCAGTATGCTGATTTTCCCGGTGTGGTCAAGAATGTCGAATCTTTCTTTGGAGGATTGTACACCTTTGGCAGGGTTGTGGACTGTCTTGATGATTGGAGTGTCTTTGCAACAGGCAGTCAAGTATTTTGAGGCATTGTCACCTCTTGAAAGCTGTGCAGTTTGTTTCTAAACGTCTTTTATGTTGTGTTTATTACAACTGTGTTCTGGCTGTTGGTCTAGCCTGATCTCTGAGTTCGTTAGTTTTGGAATTGCTACATCATTCTTTTTGTTCTTTTGCTATAACCTGTCATCAGCAAGATGCTGTAGTTATCTGGAAAATCTGCATCTTAATTTGCTCTAACATGCTCACTGTAGTTTACTAAAATGCAGCTTTAATTTTCGTGTTTACTATATAAATATGTTTTATCAGGCTATCCTTCCTCTAAGGGGAAAGATTTTGAATATTGAAAGAAAAGACGAGGCAGCAATGTACAAGAATGAGGAGATACAAAATCTGATCCTTGCTCTTGGACTTGGAGTGAAGGTCATAAAATTTCTTGTCTCTATCGACACATTTTCTTTCCTTTCTCATTTCTTGAACTGAAAAGCTTACTCTGTCTACTTGATTTACTTGATTAAAGGGAGAGGACTTCAATAAGGATTCTTTACGGTATCATAAGATCATCATTCTGACAGATGCTGATGTAGATGGTGCTCACATTAGAACGCTGTTATTGACCTTTTTCTTCAGATATCAGGTGATTATTCCTTTAAATTTGTTTCACTTGAAAAACCAAACCGCAGAGATGTTAAATTTACTCCCAACATACTGAACCGGCCTTTTTGTCTGCAGAGATCCCTTTTTGATGAAGGTTGCATCTATGTTGGAGTCCCGCCATTTTACAAGGTTTCACTTATTTGTAATCCATCTTGATACAGTGTATCCAAAGTGGACCGTTGCTAGCTTTAATTTGCTTCTATTGAAATGTCAGGTTGAGAGGGGGAAGCAAGTTTACTATTGCTACGACGATGCAGAACTTAAGAAGCTTCAGAATTCCTTCCCTCCTAATGCATCCTACAACATTCAGAGATTTAAAGGTGAGAAAAGTCATGGTAAAAGTCGCAATTAGGGGCATGATGATGTAAATGAGAGCCACTATTGGGTTTCATCTTTGCATTTCAGTCTGATTCCACTCAGTGAGTCTTGAACTTAAATCTTGCTTGGAGGACAATGCTTGTTCACATTTCCACTGATGCTGATGTAGGTTTGGGAGAGATGATGCCTTTGCAGCTTTGGGAAACGACAATGGATCCTGAACGAAGGCTTCTGAAGCAGTTGGTGGTGGAGGATGCTGCTGAAGCTAATGTGGTCTTCTCCTCTCTCATGGGTGCCCGGGTATGTGGTCATGTGTTCGTAGTTGGTTCTGCTTACCCTTAATAATGATCTCGCTTATAATTTTTCATGTGTAGAATAAGGCTTCAGTTACTGTAAATCCTTGAAAGATTATCGTCTTGCAATTACTGAAAATTTTTTTGCGAATACTGACTGGAGATAAGCTTTGGGATATTATTCACTTCCCTGATGGAGCCTTGCTGAAAAGCAGTCTATCCAATGTGAAAAGTTAAGAAGCTTAGGACAACTACAAGGGCTGGTCGAACCCTTTTTTCGGGCTCTGAGGGCCAAGCATACGTAAACTCATTCACTGCTATAATATTTGTCCTTTGTGACTGTTTTAATCCATAATTTTCCATATCAGGTGGATGTCCGTAAGGAACTTATTCAGAAATCTGCAGCTATGGTCGATGTTGATCAGCTGGACATTTAGAGCCTCAACGGTAGATGGCAGATTGCTTCAGTCCAATACATTGTACGAAGCTAACAAGCAAATTTTAGGCTTCACCTTTTGCATCTTGGCACATTGGGGCATCGAATCTATGATCATCAGCTTTCGACTATAGCACTTCTTTGTTGTATTCTAAGGAAGAGGGATAGGGCTTTGCATTCTTGTGTAAATTCTTAATTGTTCTATACTATAGGTACATCGAAAATGTGCTTTTTTGAGCGAGACATCTTTTAAACTTTGGTGCACGTCATGATTTCTCCAACCATCGTCCGTGCTTTGACGGAGTGACGCGTGCATTGGGTTCATATGCTTCAACTTCGGAAGTCTCGAGACTCCAATTTTGCCAACTCCTTGGCTCAATGCCCTTGGCGGGTGATTTTTATATCTTACTTCCACGGCCATTAGGTGGCGACTTTGTATCTTATATCGAGTCAAGCGTAAAGCTTGTTACCCTCTCAAAAACATATGGGCCAACCTTAGGGCTTAGATGATGCTCTGTGATGAATTCCAAACTGTGGTTGTGCTCTAGTAGCTCGAAACGCGTGACTTGGTCTGGTTGCCTTGCTGTTTAATGTTGGCATTCGCTTATGATGGAACGGGCCGGTTTCTTGATCAAATCCCAACGAAGCGAAGCATTTTCGTTTTCTGTAAAGAGGGATCGCATTAACAAAAAGGCCCATTACATGGAAAAGTTTCTAAAGAGTCATTGTTGTCCTTCTTGGCGAGCTTCTGAAGAGTCATCCTAGGAGAAATTGCAGGGTTTTTTCCTCCTCCTTTAGAGAAAATACCAACAACATTCATGAGATTTCATTAATCGTTGCTCTACTTTTGAAAATTATCAGGTACGTGCCCGAGATTCATCCTTGGAAGTCACTTTGCACCTTCGCATTAATCATTCTCTATGTAATGCTATTTTCTTTTCGGTAACGACCATCCTACAAATGTCAAGTCCTCGCACTCATCCAGTACATTCAAAACCAAACTGCCTAAACCCACCAGCAAAATGCCAAAAAATGTATGTAAGGGGGCCATTGGTCATTGTAACACGGGAGTTTTGCTTAGAGCCACGTGGATGCTATTTGTGAGAACGGAGGTATGTAATTGGTCATTGAGCCAAAAGTGAGGTGTGGTTTTCGCATTGTCCGAAACCCATATCCGGCACTAAAATCTACAATCCGTCATATGTAAATTATCTTCTAGAAGAACATAAGCTAATTCTTAGGGAAAGCATAGCTTTATCACGGTTAACAAACCGACGGGCGTTTTGGTTCTTGTCACAAACAATCCCACTTACCAACATCTTGGATTGGGAAAATCCTCTCAAATCTGCTAATGTTGATATAAGAGCTCCCACAAGTTTCAAAAATCTGCTGAAATTTTTCTGACTTTTGCCCCCAATTTTATCCAAAGATTTTGATGCGGAAATTGTACCAGGTCGGGATTTCTCGAGCGTACCAATTTGAGGTTTCCGACAATATTAATTGGTCAGAACAATATATATCTAATCATTTTCCTAGTCCCTTAAAGAAGAGAGAGAGAGAGAATATTCCGTGGTCGTATCCGGATCCACGTAAAAGAGGCAGAACAGAGCATCAAAATTCATCTGGCTTTGTCCTTTCCATATGTATATTTCTCTCACCTGGAAAACCGCCATGGTTGGTCACTTCCACGAGCTCTTCTTCCTCCTCCTCCTTCCTCCTAGATCCCGGACCTTCGCTGCTGCCCTGTAAGCTCTTCGTCCCTCGATTTGTTCGTTTGAACTTGAACTGAAAACGAACGGCCGTGTCAAGTTTTTTCGTCCATTGACTTTTCTGGTTGTTGATGCCAGGCTATTGCCTCCCCTGATGTTGCGCTGCTTCTGTTCGTGTTCGATTCCGTGGAATGACCAGAAGTCGTGATCATTGGATGATGTGGGTACGTAATTGTCGGACTTTTTGAGCTGCCACTGATTGTCAAGAGCTTAAAGTGAGCATTTTTCATGGCTGAGATTTGATCCTTGGAGCATTTTGGCTTTTTTTTTAATCTTTGAAGTCGGTTCGGGACTATGGGTCTTGTTCAAAAAAATGGGAACTAATCAATCTGAATAATGCACCGCGTGCGCATGACATTGTGATCAACAGTTACGATCTCGAGAGCATGTAGGAAGCCTTGTGGGCGACTGTAGTCTCATTAATTTCTGCCGTTTATGAGCAATGTAGATTTCTTAATCGGGGTACAGTTTGCTAATGCTTGCCAATTAGTTAACTAATGAAGGATTGCCGATGCAGACTTGGCAAGTTCCTAGAGAAAAAGCTTTTATTTGGAGATTGTGTTTGCGGTTTTCTCTACAATAATTCATCGACCGTGTAGTGTGTTGATCAAATGGTACTTTCGGGTAGACAGTGCAAACTTGTATGGCAAGGAAACTCAAATGTGGCAACTAGAGTTTTGGTCGGAGTACTTACCAATTTCTTCAAAATTAAACTATTGCATCCCATGTTTGTGATTTTGTGATGGAAATTAGCATTGAGTTATGTCGTGCATCTCCTGGATTATATCATGATGGTGTAGAACACACCGGATCTTCATTGTGGGTGGGTTTTATGCGGAACAAAGGTATTAACATATCATAAGGAAAACATATTTGACTTGAAGGATGCTACAGGCATACTAACTATCCAATTATTGCACTTTGAACCCCTCTGGATGACAATTTGATTAGGTTATTTCAGCCAATGTCTGAATGATGGAAGTAGAGAAAAGATTTTGATCATACATGATTTTCTACAAATTGGCTTTATCATGAACATGTACAGGATTTAGCAAAGAATGGCGAACATTTCACTTTTCTTTCCTCCTCCTCCTCCTATCTCTCTCCTTCCTGAATCAGAGGCTGTTGGCTTTCGTCTCTTCAAAATATGTTCAAGTTTCTTAGGTTCTTTAGAAAGGTCTCCCCAACTAATGAGCCAGCCTTAACAAATACAGCAGGCTGGCCAATTGGAGATTCTACCCAGGATTCAGAACCTTGATTTGTATATAACTTTCCTGTCCAGATATGTTGCCATGGACTACTTTCTCCAACCGGAAAGTATGCTTTGACATTATTCTTGCCTTTGTCAAGCACGGGAACTACAAGAATCTCTGTACCTACCAAGAACTGCTGATAAGTTAACTTATGTACATTGTCGTCCTCAGGATAGTGGAGGAATAGGTGCCGGCAAACAGGTAAGCCCTTTTGAGCTGCTTCCTGGTTTAGAAAAAAGTGAGGGTTTCAGTGAAAGTATGAGGTTTTGGACAGTGTATCCATAACTAAGAGAAGACATAATATCAGTTAAGCAGGAACGTATTTTACTGATGTTTCATTAACTAGAATATAAACTATTGTGAGTGGTGAAATCATTTCAACATTTGCTAATATCTATTTACCAGTCATAACCATTAAGATGTGAAGTTTGAGCTGAGTTCCAGATAATACCTTGATGAGTTGGATTCTGTAGAACTTCCAAGCACTGTATAGTTTGGCAAAGCGTGCAAAATGTGAGAAGGTTTTATGGTTTGAGTAGAACTGGCTGTTACAGGATGGCTTGTTTCCCTGCTTGCAAAGATAGATTGAACTTAATACCTGTTTCCCAGGGGACATTAAGAGGATAATATATGAAGAACTAATACTTTTCATTATTTAAATGAATATTGGTTATTTTGGCATTATATACCCGACAAGTTGTAGTTCCATGTTTTTTAAGTGATTCTCTTTATGTGCTCAATGAAGTTGAAAGAGCATCACTCTTTTCTGGAAGTAGTCTCCTAAGAAGTGCCTGCATGTTCTTGGATGGTTGGGGGAAGAGGGAGTGGAAAGCTGCCTGATATGTAGGTTATCCTTGACAGAACATATTCATCTCTCTTCTTTATGCATAAGTGGCAGTGCAATATCCACACAATCATATAGATGAATTCAGGAAGCAAATAATACTTACTTCATGGGTCCGGAATACAGTGGTAAAAGCATTCAACTCCATCCAGCGCAATAGCAGCTCTTCACTTCTTTGATACCTGATTAGGGGTAAGCTTACTGCACAATAGCCTCCGGTATCACTATGGTTAAAAGCATATCCAGAGAGTCCGCTGCTCAATAGGCCGACAACTGCACTCTTGATGCCATCATTAACTTGCCAGCTGACCATTTGGTCTCCTTCCCAAAACAGCATTCCCCATTTAGGACTATCTCTGAATCCAGCCCTCATAAAGAAAACCAATGCATCTTCTGGGTCTTCTCCCTCTTCGTGGTTGCTCTTCCATTCGTCCACAAATTCTCGGTTTATTTTGGCCCATAATTCTGGATATCTATTATGAGCCACTATTGGATCTTCACCTGAAAACATTAATTCCATGGGTGTTGTGGAAATTAAATATAAATATAGCTAGTTACAACATCCTGTAATAGTAGCGTTATCACCCTCATGTCTATGCTTTGCTATGTTTGCAACAAGGGTTTCTGACTCTAGTTCCCTTCCATCGGTCGGGTTGTGAAAGGGAGGACGTGCATTGAGGAATCAGGGGATTAGAGTATTCAAAATACTTGCATATTGTTGTGAGTATAATCAATTTGTGATGCTTCATACTATTTACCACGGAACAGTCTGAGGTTTTGGGTCAGAAAGATTGGAATGGAGATTGATGGTGATATCTTATCTGTGTTCTTACATGAAGAAATTAGTTCGGAGAGTGAGTGAAGCCTGCGACTTGCTGAAATTCCATTTCCAAAAGTAGGTTATTGAGCTTTCAAGGGGGAGACGAATTGGTATTAGCTGTCCAATCACAGTGTTGCCTTCTGGTAAATTATCCCAATGGGAAGAATATTGGATTGAATATAGAAGTTTAGAGTGAAGTTAGGGGTCACATGAATGCGATAAAAGATCTAGACTATTTTTTTCAAAAAAAAGCTGGCAGTTAAGAACCTGAATAGAGTTTGGCATCCACTGGAAGGCCTTCGCCAAAATCTGCCATCCATCCTCTGATTCCGTCGTCCACCATATCTTGTAAAATTTGTTTAAACCAACTATCTGTATCTGGGTGAGTCAAATCCAGCATTCCAACATTGAAAGCTGTATTTGGAACCATGTATGGTTCCCCATTCTTATCTCTCACCAAGATGCCCAGTCTTTTTGCCTCCTCAAACATATTCTTCCTCCTGTTTGGGTTCTCATCGGTCTGCAAGCAGGAGAGAAAGCTTCTTGATAAGTTCACAAGCTGAAAATCTATTATGAGTGGTTGGTGATATAACGAAGATCTTGATTCCCCATTGAGATAGAGGAAGAAGTATGCTTAACAGAAGGTGAAGGGTTACGTACCGGAGCCAGACAGGGGTTGCAGTATGTCATCACTCTAATGTGCTGAGCATCTAGATCTTTAATTAATTGTTGCCATCCCCAGTACCTTGTTGAATCCACTTCCCAGTTCCACCAGAGTTGCGATCCGATGAATGTCTCTCTATGCCCAACCCAATCCTGAGGAACGCTACTGAGTCATTACATTTGGATGGAGGGAGCTTTATGTGTGTTAAATTGTATTGTGTATTGATGATGGTTGGCGCTGGAGTCCATGTTTTCTTCATCATCTTAATTATACATTATAGTCATGGTGTTCAACTTCACTATCTGTTAAAATCCTCGTGTTAAGGTTGTTATCATCAAATGGAAAGTGACCACTAAAGTCAGTGACATCGTCTTTGATTTACTGAAATTGGATAAGTCTTTACTGTTTTTTGCTAATTTCTTTGTCCAGCCATGGCATTACCTGCAACCAGAAGGCAGAAATGGGAACATCATAAGCCCTCAGTTCATCCCACACATGGCGAACCATATGTGTGCCACCCTGCATGCCAACTACAGCTCCAGATATAATCCATTCAGGCAGTTCAGGGGGCCTCCCAATAGTCCCTGTGAAGTGCTTGAGGAGCTCAGTGGGTGAGTTGCCGTGCACTAGACTTCCTTGGATTGAATTATCATGTATCTGCCAGCCCAGTAAAAGAGAGGATGAAATTAGACGGGTTCAGGACGGTGTATAATCTCCACTGTACACTTAATTTACTGGACCATTCGCCTGTGCCTATACAAAGTACGTGACTCTTACCCAAAAAAACAAGTACGGACATTTTTTTCTCTTTCTTCCGTCTATTCTTCTAAAACAAACTTTAGTTTATCTTGACGGCGGCACAAAATAATGTTGATAGTCATTGAAGACAGCATTGTAAAAGAACCCACAAGTTATTTATCGCTCTAGTGTGTGCAGGTTTCGAGCTAAAGTTAAGTGGTGAAGGAGAAAGAGGCAAACATCGGTTATCAAGAGGTACCTGTATCTGGACTCTATCATGTCTTGTTAGATCAAAAATGGAATAGTTGTATCCTTCAAGATAAAGAGATCTCATCTTTGATGTCATGTAGAACGGTGAAGGAGCATAAGTTGTACTCCAATCACCCCCAGCCCTGCAACAGAAGTGAAATGTTCCAATTATTTCCATGTGTGATCAGTCAATTCACGACAGAGCTTTATGCTACCAACCTGTGGCTAACCAAATTAGCTGCGAAAGTTATTGGCTGATCACCTCGTCCAATGCCCTGTTCTTGTACGAAAATTGGCACCCTTCGGCCTTTAAAATTCATGTGAGAGAACTGCTCCCCGAAACCGTAGAATTTCTCACTTTTTTCACTGGAATAAGTGAGAAAAATCCTATTGAATTCTGTGGACTCTGGAGGCTTCATTCCAACTAATTCGTCCTCAGCAGAGGAAACCGCAACATGGTTTCTTGGCCTTGGAAAGAACCAACACCATCCGAGTTTCTTCTTCCGAAGCTGGCCCAGCTTCTGCCTCATGACCCGACGCCTTCTCAGACCAGCCGGAGAAATACTCTGGCTGTGGCCGAAGTTGGGTTTGCCCAGCCTCACCTGAAACCCAACTTGGTTACTGCTTTTCTGATCAAATAACACCCAGTATCTTGCATAAGTGCAATCCTTTGTCAGCGTCATGTTCTTACTCAAGGTGGAGTCTTGAGGCTGCTTCTTTTTCTTACTGAAGATCCTGCCACTTATTATCAGGACAGGAAAGTCTTTTTTTTTCACATCAATGTGATCAAATCCTACACATCCCAAAGGGAAATCAGGATCGGTGGCGTCCAAGAAACGGTCAAAATGATCGATCACCCTTATGTCTTCGACGGTCTGATGATCACAGACCAATCGGACTTCCCTGTTCTTGACAACAAATGATCCTCTGCTTTCTTGAATCTCTGTTTCGGCCAGAGCCGCAGAAACAAAGGCTTGTCCGGGGATGGTGGACCATAAAGACTTGTCAGGCTGCGATCGGTGAGAAACCGAGAGAAGCCCGCCATTCCTTGACTGCCAAGTGAGCTGAAAATCTTTCCCAATTGGGAAGAGCTGGTGCGACGTCAATGTTAGCGACTCACAGAACAGAGTCCCCTGAATGAAAGGCAGAGACTTTGGAGCAGAAGGGAAGGGGTTGTTGAGGTGCCTGTGGTGCTTCTTGGTGATTTTGAGGCTTGACATTTTCTAGGGAAGTCGAACAAACAGGATATAGAATCGATGGATTCTCGAGTGCTTATTTATACAGACTAGGGAAGGAAAATTCAACCAAGATTCGTATTTTCAGTTGCCGAGCGAATTTTTATTTTATATGGGATTTTGTCCGATCTTCTTTTCTTGGTTCCACAGTGGGGACAAAAGTGCCTTCTCTGGATGTGGATGAGCTCTTAGAGACGAAAGCGAAAAAGTCGATTTTGACTCTGGGGCGCACGCCAGTAAATGCGCCAGCTGACTTTCCTCTTGAATGGCTCTCTCTGCCCCGAATTTACTTGCAATTATTCCCCTGCCTGTTTTCATTCTTTGCCCCAGCTGGTGGACTCTTGATGCTAGAGAGAGACAGATAGACAGCTAGACAGACAGACAGACATCGTCGTCTCTGTGGAGGATGAATGGATTGGGATGGTTGATCTTATGCCTTAAATTTTACCGAGAAAATGATGCTGGAGATGCTAAATGGGTGTCTGTGGAACGACGCTGCAGGCTTTTGTAGGTGTTTGAACAGAACATATTTTGTGTTGAGTAAAGGGTGAAGGGTCTATCAATTAGCAAATCGAGAGTTATTCCTTCTCCGATATTCCATGAGAAAAGCCGAAATTGCGTGCAGGGTCTCTCTCGTCCACAAGTTTAGATTTTCTTGGTGCCGCCGACCACCTGCACCGATAACTCCTTGTCTTATCTCCAGCGTCGGACATTGGATCTAATGCTTATGTTTAAGGCAATCGTAATAGCAAAAATCCTGATTTTCATGGAGGAGATAGCTGGGGGAGGTTCACAGGCCACCTCGTTTCTTGGGAAAATCAAGAATTCTCTGGAAATCTCATATTTACCAATGCATCAGCGGACTGTGACCTGGAATTGTGCTTGGACCTGGTCGGCCTGTGGACTGTCGAAATGGCCTGCAGAAACGCGTTCACTAGAAGGTCAAACGGAGGTTGCGATTGTAAAGCAACTGAAGAGGCCTTTTCTAGTGTTAGGTCATATTCATATTCTAGAAAGTTAATTTCTAATGAGTCTTGGTTAAAGGTGAGCGATTTCAGATTCCGTACAAATTTTAACTAGAACCTAAAACTTATTATGCATACTCTGGAACTTGAAACTTATCATGTCACAAGTTCCAGGGTCGGTTTCAAGTTTTACCCAGGTTCATCTATAATATTAATTGAACGAGCAGTGAATCATTATTTTTAATGATCATCACTTGTTGTTACAATTCATGACTACAAATTATATTTAGACACAAAAAAATATGAAATATTAACAAAGTAAAAATTTCAGTCACAAAATGGAAGCTCATTATCGGACGCTATGAAATACTGCAGGATCACGTGAATACGTAAACCAAGAAAAACACAAAAACTTGTTTTAGGTTTCACCAATCTGGAATTTATCCGTCGAAATAGGTTCCTCAATTTTTGGAATCTAGAACTTATCATGCATACCTTGGAACCTGAAACCAAATAAATTCCTATCGGTCTGATTATTCAGTTTCAAGTTCTACTCTAGAATCATACTTACCCCTAGTCTTGACTAGAGATAGGCACGTGGAAAACACGAGCGGGGCGCATTTTTACTCTAACGGGTTTCATTAAAAAGTGCCCAAATCAAAACATTTCTCGTTGGGTCTATTTAACAAGTGCCTTCGGGACGTCCTTAACGAAACCCTTGTGCACTTCTTGCTTTGTTCGATGAGTATGTGCGGGTGTTAAGTTCTCCGTTCTTACTATTTTTTTTCTTCTTTCTTTTCTCTCTTCTCCAATTTCTTTTTCTTGTTCTTATTCAATCTTCCGATTTCTCTTTCATAATTTGCCAGATTCCACATTAGTCGGTCCCTTCTGACATATATTGGCCGGTGAATCTCGACGTTTTTCGAGGCATCATTCGCCCTCACGTGGGGCAGCAATGAAAATCCCCTCTTTTTTGGGTCTGAATCTGCTTTTGCATGCTGAAAGTGAACCTGGACATCAACTGGGGTCTCATTCGCTTGTGGGTCTGTTGCTGTTTTTGGGGTCTGTCTAGGTTTTTACTTTTCTTCAATGTCGTAAACTTCTTTCTCTGAGGCTATTTTCCCTTTTAGTCAATTCAAAATTGGTTGACTATATGTAGAAGTTCAAATTATTATTTTATCATTGTCTCTGGTTTAGAAAATTCAACAAATTAACCACAAAATGAACTACTCATTTTCCCTTTTTCTGCTTCCCTTCCATTACTGGCTCAAAAGCAATAAGATCCGGTCAAAAATGAGCCCCTCGAGTCGGGTTCTAATAATTCATGAAAGAGATATCATATTCAGAGTAATCTTCTTTTGGCACAAAAGCAAACACCTAGTCTAATTCATATATTGATATATGAAGTGACGGTCTTTTAGACTATGGTCAAATGTCGAATGTAACTAATTCATTTAAATGCCGACTTACTATTAGTCATGTCGCTCTAATTATTATGAACTTTTTTTAGATCGGTTTAGTACGCTCCATATTACCGATTCCATGAAAAACTCTCGACTCGAGTATAAAGTCACGGTCACAATCTCAAAAAACTCAATAGGATGACGCTAATCACTGGATTTCGTGTATCTTTAGCATTGGTCGAGCTAATTTATTGTTACTGTGCACAGGGCTCTCGTGGATGTAATGCATCTAACCAGGTTCGCGTCAAGATTCACTCTTCCTGAATTGCATGTAGCGATGTTAACGGGCCACGTTCATTCCTTTCTTCACGTCACCGAAGTCCCAATGCTTGCAAGTCTGGTGCTTGAATCTGACCGTGATCGAGTGCATGGTGCAGAAGATGTCTTCGATTCGGAGTGTACAACGTCCATTCTGACGTCCCAAAACATAAAATCAAGCCCCATGGATGTGACCAAGTTCTGTCCATCGCTTGTTGTTGAGGAGGGACAAAGCTTTGTCGGAACACGCATCATCCACCCAAGTCAGTACACTTTCTCAGAGGAAACAAGAAATAATAACTACGTGGATGGTTTCGAGTAGAGAGCTAATTTCGATTTCAGGATGATTGCTATTCATTATGTCTCTGAAAAATTAAATGCGTGATCCGGGATTGCAAGAAAATATGGAATTGCTAGGGAACGACATGGTATATACGTTATACTATGAATGTTTTCACAAGCGAATATGAATGAACCTGTACAAAAAGTCGAAAAAAACGAATGTCGAAGTCTCCTTTTTGTGAATATTTGTCTTCGCCGCGAAAAAGAGCGAAAATGCACTGATGGGAAGTAAGGAAGAAATCAATCAATAAATTCCCCCGTGTTTTCTGTTTATAGATTTGGTTGGCACCTGTTAACCCAAGTCATTCAATAGATTACACCACTGCTGCATATCTCTTAACACTGGAAAAGAGTTGCTACCAAAAGATTTTGAAGTAGCACCAACGTTGGTGCTCGTCTTCCATGTATTTGGCAATTGCCAAATGGCTCAACCGTCCCATTTCATTAAGCGTCATGTGTAGCCTCCTCGATCATCCGTCGAAATTGCCATTCAAAAATTCATCAGAATGAACACGAACACCTCCATAAATGAATGACCAAAGCCATGAAGATTGTTAGTACAATTTATGAGCCTCTCGATCAAATACCCACAAGCTGGATGGACATTTGAACTTTTTATTATACCTGGAGAGACTCGACAACGAGTCAGGTTCGTTTGTTCTTTCAAAATTTATACAACTAATTCGACAAAGTGGAAGCATCAGGATTCAGGACTCACAGGAAAAACTAGCAAAACTTCAGCAGAATCCAATAATGTTAAGATACCAATGAAGAAACAGTGGCGACATCAACCCCTTCCGGAAGGTGTCGGGAGTTGGGGTTTTGATGAATTTATTGGACGTCGCGATAGGCTCGAGATGGGATTTTCCGTCTTATCCTAGGTTGATCAAATACATGATGAGATATTCCACAATGCGGAAGGCTTTTAATCCAACCTTATTCGATCATATCTTAATCCATATCCAGACAACTAAACACAGTCTTAATGAATTGGATTTCAGTTTTATACAACAAGCTTATTATTTATGCTTTACCTGCCTTTTCGCGAAGCCACAGCAAGTGCTCCGCACTCGAAAGCTATTTTGTTGCAGTGTGTATAAGCAACGCCTTTAAGCGGTCTCATCTGTGAACAGTCATGGGTCTTCTATTTTTCCAATTAATGCACCGTGTAGATATGTTTTCTTTCCATCCTGTTACCAAGGCTAAAGTCCGATGCATTCCGAAAATGTGACATGGGCCTAGAGTTTCGCTTTCTGAAACCTAAAGAATACTATAATATACTGGCGTCTTCATCCATCTTGAGCGAGTCACACATTGCTTGAACCTCAGTGCAGAGGATATGGCAGAATAAAGAGGTGCGCGAGGTTGTCGTCAAAAGCAAGACGAGCTATCTTTCCATGCAGATATGACGATTGAAGAACATTACCGAATCCGGTCTGAGCACAAAGACGAGTCCACTTTGTATCGTTCTTACAATTCATCTTGAAAACTAAAAGCTCCAAAAATATGCTTAGATTCAACATGCCGAGTGCTCCATCGAGAGGAGACCAAAGTAGAAAATCGGAGAGGCAGAAGAGGCTCATCTCCAGATACAACTCGTTAGCTTGTTCCTCTCAATCGGTAAAAAAGCAGAAGTTAGATGAACAAATTTAGGCGGCCCAGGAAACATCAGTCCAACAAATTCGAGTCACTCGTGCTTTTAAATGGATTAACCCAAGCCAACTGCCTCGCCAAGTTTTTATCTGGAAATATATCATCTGCTTCCATCCTCTCCCGAAGCCCATAAGCTGGAGCTTTTGCATTTATATAAGCCGTAATTAGGAATCTAAAGAGCCGTGCTCGACCAACATAACCAGCCTGCCTTGTTTGGTGAAAGATCTTCTCAGACTTGTGGACGTCGCCCCTTTTCGCATACTCCTCCATGATGGCCATCATAGATGAGTACATTGGCTTCTGCGGGTTCTTCTTAACCGCCTTCTGCAAGAAAGAATCGGCCTTTTCAACTTCGCCCGCTTCTACGTAGAGCCTCACGAGAGCATCCCAAATCAACGGCCCAATATCATACCCGCTATCTGACATGCGTCTAACCAGATCTTTTGCTTCGTTCGGCATCTTATTGTCTACATACATCTTTAGGAGGACCAAGTAAGTCTTCCAAGGGATCCTATATCCTGTTTCCATCATTAAATTGAAAATCGCTTCTGCTTCTTTGATATCCTTCAACTTACCCCAAGCTTCCATTGCGGCACCAGACACTGATAGCGTTGGCTTTGGCATGCAAATTGCCCAAACTCTTCTCACTTCATCCGCTTTTCCAAGCCCTGCGTATAGAGGAAGCACGTATTTGCAAGCTGGCCTGTGTCTTTTCAAATCCCCACCTTCCATCTCCTTCACGATAGCCTCCACTTTCTCCTTCTTTCCACCAGATAAATAATGCCGAGCCAAGCTAGCTTTTGTTACGAGGTCAAATTCCATACCTTCAGCCTTCATCGTTTCAACAATTTGATCCATGCCTTTCAGATCATTTGTTTGGCCTTTGACATTTATTAAGAGCCTGTAGGTGAAGGGAGAGGGCTTAACATTTTCCTTCTCCATCAGCAACAATACATCAGTGATCTTCTTCTTGTCATGCCTACTGTAAAGCAGGAGCAACTGGTCGCAAGCAAATGATGTCAGAGCAAATTCTCGATCCCTCATTTTATTGAAAACTTCCTCAGCTTTTCTGATGTTGTTCGCCACGACACAGTTTGCCAACAATGTCCTGTGGACTCTTTCTCCCCGGAAGGATTCTGGAATATTCTCGACGTAGTTCTCTGCCTCTTCTAATCCATGCACCTTGGCAATTAAATCAACTTGAGATGCATAATCTCTCTCAGCAAAAGGGAAATGGCTCTTCAACCACTCTGAAAGCTGCAAACCGACATTGTGTTAACAGGTATCTAATGAGCAGCAAATTCAAAATCATGCCCGCAATGAGATTCAGGAATACAGAGTAGGGGGGCACTAGTGACTTAGAAAAACCGTAGGCTAAACTACAATGTGGAAAAAAACCTAAATTAAAAAACAAATAACCCTTAGAAGAAAAGCAGAGCAAATCAAACCACCTGCAAGGCCCTCCCATACATTCGCCGGGAACGAAGGTTACTCATGGTCAATGATATCTCATCCCTGCCCAAATCTTTCCCTT